GGGGCTGGCTTATCTCCATTTTCTGTACTGCAGAACCCACGCTCTACCTGGTGTACTGCTGTTGTACACTATGAAATAAATTTCCAGGAGCTAAGTGATAAAACATGAAGTTCTCCGGAACTAAAATAAGTATCCTACTCTCTTTTGGCCTTTTTCGTAAACAGCAAATTCATCCTACAGCTTTAAAATCCAACTAATTCCCAAGAGCTCCTATGATGAACACTGTGTTTTTCACCCAATATACACTGATGTTTCTATCCAGGCTACCACTACACCACTCCCATACATGCAGAATATGAGTTAGGAAGGACAAACTCTGATGCTCAGAGTCTGACTTAAAGCTATCTGAGGAGAGTGGGGATTATAGGTTTGTCTGCGAACTGCTGCTGCAAGTCACCATCAGAATATTGAGTAATATGTAGTTACATTTAGTACATATATTTCATTGATGTCAGTATAGGTGCAAAAGTAAGCCAAGTTTCTGAACTCAGAGATATGGTTAGAGAGATGGTGATGTATGAATATTTGATAAATTTCACAGTTAGGCTGCTGGGGAAGTCTAACATCCTTTAAGCCCTGGGTTAAAGGTCAGATTCTAAGTGTAGAATGGCTCAGTAGCCTGTAAACACAACACGACCACGTGTCCAATGGAGGGCAGCTTTCTCTGAAGCAGTCTTCTCACAGATCACATGGGAACAGATGCACAGCTGCACTAGTAGGGCTCCCCTCAACCACGCAGGTGTTTGGTCAACTTACAACAAAAGAGAACCCGGCCCAGTTATTCAAATACACAAATATCATCTAAGTCAGCGGCGTAGCATCAAATGGTCACGTATAAAAATGTGGATTTTATTATTCCATTAGGAGAAACCATTTACTTGGAAAAGGATATGCGGTTTTTTTTTTTTGTTCTTCGTGATACACATAAATCTTATTTTTAAAATAGAAATGGTATTTCTTCTTCCCACTCCTGAATTATTTCTCACTCTATACTGATTCTGGTTTATGCTGGTATCTTGGTATGCACTGTTTTGGGGGTCATACCCCAAAGAACTGAGAATTTAATTACAGAACCCAATAAAATAAGGAGCGATGTAGAAAGAAATACATAAGCAAAGTAAGCTCCTTTATTTACCATGTGATCATGGTAAATCTCATATTTACCAGAATTTGGATACATCTTAATCCACAGAACCTTCTGTTCACGTGTGTTCATACAGAACATAGTTCACGTATACTTTAAGTATCATGTATCACAAGAAGTGCTGTTTACTTCCCTCTGGGGAGCATCAGCTGAGAGCACAAACGGGGAAAAAAAAGGATCTAGGAAAGAAACAGCTTCGCTGCTTGAATGCAGGTTATGGCTGGCAACTTGTCACAGAAGCGCATCCTGAAGGTACGGTGTACATTACCAAGTTTCCCTTTGTAACCACAGGGCTGCATGAATCCACATGCAAATTTGTCACAAGCGAAGCAAAATCTCGCCTGTCAGAAAACTACAACAAAGCACAACAGAGAAAGCAGTCCTTGTACATAATACATCCTTGTCACCAGACTGGATCCTACAGAACACTTTTATTGCATCGTTCTTTGAGCACAGATAGCTGAGATAGGCACAAATGATTTAGTTTTAAGACAAGGTGGCAAAAGGGAAATAAAACGGCTGTTACCTCATTGTTACTGTTGCAAAGTTATAATTCCTAACATCAGTTCCCCGGCGACTGCCAGAAACAGACAGGAAGAGTCAAAAGACTTCGGGAGGCTGAGATCCTCTGTGAATTCAAGCACACAGCACAGAGGTTTTGTACTGAGCATGTGGAGCTGAAGGATAACAATGCAAAGCATTAACCAGTGACTGGAAGTGTTTTCATTTAAAAAAGTCCAAGAAATAAAATGTAGTGAATCTACAAAGTGTGGAAGCTGCTGCTGTCTGCTCATCAGAGAGGTTCACTCAAGTTTCCAGAGGAGCTACGTTAACAGGATTCAAATTGAAAAGCTCCTTGTTCTCCTGTTCTAAGTTTACCACACAGTAACAAATCAAATGTATATATACACACACACATATATATATATAAATCACATGGTTTCCTCATCATGGTAAAATTTCTTGATTTTTCAACTCTTTCTTTGATGAGTGTTTTAGAAAATATGTTCTTCCAAGACAGGAGTGAGCATACCCACAGCAATGAACTGAGCAGTCCCTGTTGGAGCCTCTGCTCTTCAGATGGCGTGCTCAGTTCTTTCAGCAAGGAAAAACAATGTCTCGAGGGACTGCTGAGACAGCTCTTCTACTTCTGCAGCTAACCTGCAAGCGTGCACCAGAAGCACATCCATTTTTCATGCTAAGTAATCTAAAACTTTTAAAGGAACTCTTAACTGTTATTCTATCCAACCTGAAAAACAATACAAAGAGATACATTTAATTAGGCAGGAAGCTGATACCCTGTGCTGCAGAACACAGCTGTACTACTCAATGCATTTGCGATCTGAAGGTTTATAAGGAAACAACTTTCCTCAAAGTATATTTGTTGTCATAAAAACATTTAGACCCCTCCCTGCTCATCTCTGAATAGCTCTGATTCAGGAAAGTCAATGGTGATGCTCCTCGTTAGATTGCAGAACAGTGTCGCAGCTAATTCCTACGGAATGAACAAATGCCTACAGAAAGCACACATAGCGGTGAACAATTTAAATCAAGTCAGCAACATTTAAAAAAAACTCATTCTTAATTCTTTTTTTTTTTCTATTAACATCACATTTTATTAAAAAAATAAGTTTCCTATATTTAACATGTATATTAGCTTGCTATATACGACTGAAGATCTTCAGACCTTTAACATTGTAAGATAAATCAAACACCTTCTTCACAGCTCTGAAAATTGGGAGGGAGGAAAATGAGGACAACAGGAAAGAGGAAGGAAAAGGAGGAAGCACCAGGCCATTCCTAGCAAGAGAACCAAATAGTTCCACATCAAATTATGAACCTGCATCACAAACGTCAGAATAAGGCAAACTATTATACTGACCAAACGTGGATATACTCCATACCATGAGAACATGTAACGGGGGGGAAATCTTAACTGAGAATACCTTGCACTTGCAATTGTCTCTATATTTCCAGGAAATTACTTTCCTCTCTGCAAGCCATCACTGATTCATGTGTATTTGTAAAGAACTATTCCAATACATTAGTTGCACTGAAAGCATACAAGACACCGCAGGGAAACAATCTAAAGTTATTTTAGTACTTATTTTCTTTATTTTGTTTTTACGGCAAGAATAGTAGACTAATTCCATGGCAGAAATAACTCCTACACGTGTCCCTTACACATTTAATTTGTAAACCAGAAAACTGCCCCCACATAATACGACCAAGAAACCCATGTAGGAGTCATCTGTAAGAGACATGCGGTGCTTACATATGCACGGGGACCAGAGTCTGCGTAAGAAGAGACGAAGGAATGAACAAGTCCTCCCCAGATCCCGTGAGTCACCTGTGCAAAAAGTTAACAGCCCACAGCTGCATTGCTCTATGTGCAATCACTGCCTCAGTGAGTGAACTCAGTTTCAGAAATGCCCTGGCAGGAATGTCATTAGCAGCCATGTTTTCAGGGTTCAGGGAGAATGGAAAGTCACGGAGAAACCTCAAGTACAGAGGCTTCAAGTACACTTGATCTCGCGAGTAAAAACTGGTCTTGGGTTACACAGTTCAGCTAAAGAAGTCTCTGCTGCATCTGCTGAGGAGAAGGGAATTACAAATTACACTCCCAGTAGAAAAACCAGAATAGAAATCCTGTGTCCAAGGCAGGATAGAAGGCCCCTCTCTATCTGTGAGAGACTCTGTCCCAGAAAGGGAAGGCTTCCAGCTTGCTTCAGAGACATCTAAACTAGCAGCAGACTGGATATACATCTCTTTGTAGAATCCACTTCTTATTTTACTCATCTGAATACCAAAGCCTTTTTAACAAGGATAAAAGGCTGTTTGCACTGTAAGCAACAATGGCATTTTAAACTATTTTAAAATCAAAATGCACTGGAAATATCCAAACAAATCCCAGCATTAGTCTGATGCTACCTAAAGCCAAGAACAAACAAGCAAGCAATGAACACTGGTATTTTGGTGTTTTTTTTTTTTTTTTTAGTGGATATTACAAAAAATAGTAATCATACACTTTTTTTTTTTTTTTTTTAAATGTTCATTACTTAGATAAAGCACATATGAATGTAACATTCAGAATTGTAACATAGAAAATGTAATGTGGGCAATCTGCTATTCCAAGTACACTTACCAAAATACAACTTTATAATGAAGAAAGTCTCAAAATACACCTGTACAACAATTGGGATCCACAAAATATGATTTAATAGTATCACTCAAGATCACTTCATCGAAACCACTTTTATAATACTGTTTGAATAGTAATCTCTGGTCAAAGAGCATTCTCCCCCTTCCCTTAGCCCGTCCCACTAAAGCAAGTGAGGAATTTTAATTGCAACGTGTATCTTTTAAAATCCCAAATCTGAAGCAGTCCTATTAACTATTACACTGCCTACACTTAGATACTGCGAGGATGGGAATCACCCTCTCTGAGGCCATGGTACACTGAGACACTTACCCATATTACTGTTTGTAGCGCAAGCAGAATAACCTTGTAAAGGGCAACTAAATAGGGTCAAAATATGAATTACCTTTCTACCAAATTATTCGCTACATGTTACGTAAGCCTGTAACATTACAGCTTTACTGAAAAAGAAAAAGTTAACCATTTTATCCTATAAATATTTTCTTTATTTGCTTTATGTTTAGAAGTTGCTATTTAAGTTCTATTAACAGAAATACATAACAAAAGCTCCCTAACAAGTGGAAAAGAAGTAATTACAAATGCTGAAAAAGGTTGGCCTCATTAACATATGTACAGACTTGCTTACTTAATACACATCTTTGTGGAAATTAAATCATTTTATGACACACATTTATACAGGCATTAAACATTCCCAAGTAACTTTGAGCAGAGAATACGTCAAATCTTTATTTAGTCTGGGCAGACAAAACGCATATTTCAGTTTTGATTGTGGAGCTAACATGCAACAGATACAACATTCAGTCTGAGCTGCTGTTGAGAAGTTGTTCTGTTTTTTCCTGCAAAGATCTTTCTGCTGCAGCTGGGTCCTTCTGTCCCTTCTTGTCTTTGTTCTGCTGTTCCTGCAGCTTCAGGATGATTTTTCTTATTTCTTCTCTTTTGGTTTTCATCCGTGGGCGTGGAAACCAGTCTGTTAAGTTCATTGGTAGCTCAAAACTCAGAATAGGATTCTGAAAAGAAAGTTGGTTTTTGCACATTAAAGCGACGAGTTATGACCTAAAGAGACTGGAGAGAACCAGAATGGGAAAATGGGTGTTCTTCTCCGCCTCATTCCCTCAGCATGAAAAAACGAACGGTTTGCATCCTTTCTACATGTACAGTCAAGGTCATAACAAACCAAGTTTCAGCATGCAACAGCACAGCGCTCACCGAAAGGCCCCTCCTCTCCCCCCCGGCAGTCCCGCCGCGGCTCCACCGGCAGTAGCACGCCCCGCCACAATGGCGCCCGCCCCCGCCGCGGCACCACAGCGCCCCCAGGCGGCCGCCGTCGGAGCCGAGCGGCACTGAGGGCGGGAGGCCCGGCAGGCTGCGGGCAGCCGACAGCGCGCAGCCGCTTCCACCGCGTGCCGTCTCCAACCAGCCTTGGCTTTACAAAACCCTACGCGTCGTGGCTGCAATGCTTATCATTAAAACGAAGCTTAAACTTAAATCAACCCACAAACACCCCATTTTACACACTAAAACTCAGCTTGCAGAGCTGCTGACAACACGTGAGACTTGACAGAATTTTTCAAATACAAGCTGAAATTATTAATTCGGTAAATGTAAGATAGCCAAGCGTCGTTCAGCAGGTGTAGGTTTTACATCCCCATTCAGGTCACTGCTGAGAACACCCTGCTCCTCACTGACACATCTCTGGGCACATGCAGCTGCCTCAGCTTGCAGGAGCAGGCAAGACACAGCCAGCTGCCCTAATTCTACAGCTGGTTTGCAAGAAGGAAAGGTGCAAGATTCTGCAAATGGGTTGCTCCACATAAACCCTATGTACAGAAAACTCTCTAGGGCAATTCCAAGTTCTAAAGAAAGGCAAAAGTGTATTAAATGTTTGTGCTTCGTTTTGTACAAATACTCTCTGAAAGCCTTGCTGCTTTCTCATTAAGGTATGAGCAAAGAGAGGGTTTGAGGACTAAAGAAGTTACCGGTTTTCTAGGAGTAGGAACAGTACTCAAAAGCACTACGGACGGTAAGCAGCCTTAATGCCCCATTCAGGCAACACAGTCACTCTGTTTCTCCTCCCAGCCCACACCTGACAGAGCTCTGCATTCCACTTCTAAGAGGAGCTTCAACTTGAAGGCTGAGACAGTTAAAATAAATAAAAGCTCAACCATTTCCCTCAAGAGAATTAAGATTTCGCTTTTAACTGTAATGACTTTCATGCTTTCATGAAAGCTTAGACAGTCCAAACTAGCTGTGTTACGTCAATGAATTTATTCAGTCATCTTTCTCAGGTGAAAAACAACAAGCTTTTTTGTACCACATCTTCGTTTTAGTTTTTGAACTCAAATGTGAACCCTTTTTGTGTAATTCTAAAGGCACTGTAACAACACAAAGGAAATCTTTCAAAATATTTTCTGAATGTTTTCTCAGAAAATTCCATGACTTTCAATACTTAGTGTGTACGTGCAATTAAAAACAGTAACTAGTTTATATTCCTGAAAGTATTTCTTATTATGTTAACATATAAATTATTCTCTAATGCATAATCTAATAAACAGCTGTAAAAGTTACACTAAAGAACCTTTTAAAATTATAATAATTTTAGCAGGACACACTTGATTGTTGCAGGAGACAAAACAAGCAACTACACAAATACACATACCTCAAAAAAGCTCTCTACATACTGCAGTATGTACACTCCACAATCACTGAAGTTGTTTTGTTGTGGCACTTTGGGGTTGGAGCCTTTCACGACCTCTTTGGAAAAGCTTCTTTTATTGCCTTTCCTGACCTCCCATTCTACCTCTAAATACCTATGACAAAAGACCGTAAAAATTAAAACTTTTTTCACTTGCAGAATTTTGCAGAAATCACAGACACAAAACTTACTCCCTTAGTGTTTTCACGACATTCGACCGGGAAGGGCCCCTCAGTGAATCCATAAGCAAAATGCAGGGCCTATGAGAGAACACAGTATTTCACAGCAGCTCAGAAAACACAGCGTTAAACAGCTAGCAATAAAATTATTTGTGGGATGACCTTGAACAAATCTAGTTCTATTATAAGTATTATTAAAGTTTTGCCTGTACTGCTATAATCCCCTAACGGATAGCTAAATGCTAAGCTGAGTTATCTTTAGATTTATACACAAGTACAGAGAACTTTAGAACTCAGAGAATTCTAGCACTGTCAGACCGAAGCCATTGGTTACAGGCAAAATCTAGTTACCTAAAAGCCCCTGAGGTGTCTAGTCCTATTTAAGACACACAAGGTATCTGGGACATTTGCAAGAGGCAAAGAGGCAAAGAACCCACAGACATCCTTCTGGAGTAGCAGCAGGACAGACAGAACATCTATAGCACACACAAACACACTAGATTCATTTGTTCAAGAAGTGATTCCAATTACTGAATTACTGAATCTAAAATGCATACCAGATAGTTACCTATAAAACACACACACTGTATTTGAAAGACTTTAGAAAAATAATGCAACTAACCAAACATTCTGTCTAGAACTCAGTCTGTTTGAACGCTTTCTTGTAGACTTGCATCACTCGGTCTAAAAGACAGCCTTGGCAGTAGACATGTAATGCTTAAATTGTATCAGTCATCTTACATGCAGCAGCTGGATTTATGCATCAGAGCAAACTCATTCCACAACTCAGAATCTCAGCATTAGATGTAAGTTGTATTTTAAGGGATAGATATAAATTACTTCTCACAAAGCTCTTTTGTTTTTTTTCCTAACAATAATATACATGAGTATTCACAGAACATGCTCTTTATGAAAATTGGAGACCAGTACATTCAGGCTAATTATATGTATGTATTTATGAATAGGTTGGTTTTATGTGTAAATTATTTTAAACTTACACAAATTTATGACAGCAATATTCTCTTAAGAACACATGATCCAATTTTTTTTTTGAGGAAGGGGAACAATATGGGGAGTGGAATTGAAATTCTTGCCAAAGGAATTTTCTTTTTCATATAGAAGAAACTGAAAACTATGGTAACAGTGAAGTATTGAAGTGCCCTTAATGATTTGCCATATCTGAGTGTCAGAGATCTTCAGAAGGTTCATATTTGGATTAAAATAGTGACTTGGTGGAAAGTATTACGTACTGATAATCCATCATCAGCATGGGAAAATTTAGCTCAAATATAATTGGAAGTTCACAGCACTATCAAATATTTTTAAAGCTGGTAACAAAGGTGGATTTTTACTCCTTTGTTACAATGCTTCAGGTATACCACCTACACATTTCATATGCTAAAAATTATTCCCACTTTCCTGTACTGAGTAAACTTCATAAACTTGTAAGATTTTAATTTGCCAAACATCTTAATAACCATTTTAACTGTTTCACTACTTACTGTTTGCAGATAGTAGGCTTTAGGTGCCACTGTCCCATTTCTGAATTACAGCTGTCATCCAGAAGGCCACCATCATCACTACTGTCTTCCTACAAAAGCAACATATTTATAGGTGTTTTAAAGTTCATACTATTTTTCAGTTTCAAAAAGGAAGTATTGCTGTTCTTCCAATTTTTATTCAAGACAAATAAAATCTAGTTTGATAAAGAAGCAATAGCTTTCATTGAAAACCATTCAATATTTGTATTACTGTATTTTAGTCTCTCTCAAATCCATGCTGGAAAGACACAGAGCGAACAGTGCTATTTTTGTAATGATCATTGAAACTAGAAAAAAAACCAAACAAACAACAACCAACAGCTACTGACATTTTCTAAGCAGTGCTGACCTAAAAGCAGTGCATCTCCCTTCAGGTTATAATCCATATTTTGAGTATTTTCTCTTCCTAATAATTACTAGGAATTTTTCTGATAGTTTTATGTATGCTATCTTCTAGAAGGAATGGGACAAAATCTACAACGAACTCAGAAAGTCTGATTCCTGCTCCAGAATCCACCAACTTGGTCCTCCAGGCATGGGAAATCTGAAGGGAAAATGATGTAAATGCATGTTGCAAAACTGACATGCCACAAACCTGAGAATGTTCTTCAAACTTCTGATTTCAGTACTGATTGCTGATTTCCTACTCTACAGAGCTCACTATTACTACCACAGACCACTGCATTCAGGGCCAGAGATGTTTTCCAAAGCCATAAACTACCATATCAGCACGGCTGGTGAACTTGCTTCTTTACTAACAAGCAGGATCCTATGACCGAAATCCTCATGTTACACCATTAAGATTTTATCACATTAGACAACAGCTGCCTAATTCCTATTCCATCTGTTTCTGTTGCAGCTTCAACATCATTTTTGGCAGATATGAAGGTGCATTCAACCTGTCCCGGTTTAACATTTCTATACTTGCTTTGTGCATTTGGAAAGGTATCAGTGACAGCTTCAGCCCGAGCTAAATTCTAAGCTACACTGAAACCCGGGAACTTGGCATCTTACCATCCTCTCAAGGAACACAGCTGACACAGCTAAGAAATAAGAATTGGTATCAAGAATAATTGCTTTCTTCACTGCCTACACGCCATTTATTTCAGCTTCGAAGAACCCTACTCATCATTCTCCATATTGGACTTACACTGTATAAGAAATATGGCTATGGAATCACATGGTCATAGCCTCACACACCTGAATCAATGAAGGACACTGAATGATTTTGTGGACTTTACACATCTCTAAAATCTAAGCCTTCCAATGTGAACAAGAGCACTGCCTAATTATAAAACCATTTACTTAAGCATGATTCAGAAAAGCATCAAGTAGACTGAACAGCAGAGTAACATCATCTTATAAATATGTCTGTTTATGTCCATAACATGCAGTCGAAATAATAGAAACTTGTTCTTCGGTCTGCTACCTAAACATGGGAGCTGGGGAGATGAGAAAGTTTCTCATTTCCACTTAAACCATTGTGTAATACTGTCGCTATGCACAAGACTCACAGCACTAAATGTAAGATCAGTACAGCAGTTTCCTGATAGTTTAAGGAATGAATATACAATTTTATTCTATCAGCTAATTTGTAATTTTTTTTTTTTTTAAAGTAATCAGTGTTTTGGATTTGACATTTGTAAAGATATCTAGCTTTGGACAACAGACATTTACAACACAGATACTGCCCATTCAAAACATAACACAATATTTTCCATTTCCTAAATCAAACCGCTGAATATTTTACCTGATTATCTTGGTCTTCAGAAAAATCTATAAGCTCATCTTCATTTAATTTACCACCATCAGCTGAGTCTTCACTGTAGTTTAGCCTGATTTTGTGCAATCCATCTGTACAAATCACAGACAGTAGAATTGTGTATTTAAACATCAAATGCGACATCATCACTGACAGCCAAAATAATTTTAAATTACCTAAGAGTTGCTCACAACGACTGTGATACATCTGGAGAGCAGCATTTTACTCACGTATATAAACCAAAAGTGAGAAGTTTCTTTCAAGTAACACAGCAAAGGCCATCACTGTCTTCCCATACCACCTTTTAAGTCCCCAGAACACACGTTGAAGGAAAAACTAATGAACTAAGTGAACGTAAGCGATAAATGCATATCTCATGTCAGCAAAACTTGGTATCTTCAGAATAAAACCTTTCCTAGAACATAGCTGTATAATGTATCTAAACCATCTCAAACTTAAAAATGTTGTTTCTTCTGGCACTGAAGTAATAGTATGCTATCAGTTACTAAAGAAAACCAGATCTCTGTAAGAACAGTAAATAGGACAGTGAACTAGCTAACAGAAAATCACAGAAGATCTGCACTTGTTGAAGACTGGAATGAGGTTACTAGTGGATTTCCATAGGGACAAACTTTGAAATTAATCTTACTCGCTATCTTTGAATAGACCTTAGCAAAGAAAATAGGCCATATATAATGGACACACTGCTGACAGTCCTAAAAAATAAGAATTGGTATCAAGAATAATCACAGACAATATAAAGAAGAATTGGATGACCCTTCTATGTTGATCATAAAAAGAGGGTTAGTTAAGTAATGAAATATAAATATTTCGGATGGTCTCTTCAAAATTATTTTGGCATTCATGCCTACTGACTTACAAGTCCAACACCAGAATGCATTTTGAGATCAAGACTTGCATGTTTAGGCCGCCTGTAGTAGGCAACTATGGTGAAGACCACATACAGAGCAGCTACTCAGCTGAACAACTACTCTGTGCCTGTTTCAAGGGTGAGAGGAAGAGCTCTCTTGGTTTCACTAAGTATATTATCAAAGATGCAGCTGCTGCCTTTTGAGATACCCTAAGATATCTAGCACATAGATATGGGCGGTTTGGCAGAGTCAAGAGCAACAGCAGAAGGCTGGACAGAATATCCAAGATCTACATCCCCATCTTCATCTGACTGCAACAGGAGTTCAAGTTCACGGTGCATCTACATTTAGCTCCCTAAGCATATGCTTAGTGTCAATCTCAAACTGAATCGCCCTCTCGAACCATGACAGTGACCAATAATAGTGCCTGCATTAATCAAAGGGTACATCACCTGCCCTAGCTGGGAAAGGAAGTCCAGGTGTTTTAGTCTTTGACACAATGACCACCAGTGAGGCAGCAATACAATGCAGGCATTAAAAAGGAAAAAAACCCATAATCCTAGGAAAAACATATTTCATAAGGAACATACTCACTAACGACAGACAAATAACAACAGCATCATCCAAGATAGGTAAGTTAACGTACAGTAGTGATATCATATACTGCGACAATTGCACGTAATGAAAAAAATCAATTTAAGCAAGATCAGCTCCTCCTCTCCCTACCCACAAAAACAAAAAAGAGCTTCTAGAAGTGACAATGTTATCATAGAAGAATGAACTATCTGTGAATAAGTTTTGACTAGAAAGTAGGAAAGGGTTTACACCCAAAGATACGGAAGTTACAGTGGTCTGCAGTATACAGAATAGATTGATATGAGCCATATGATTGATAGAGCCTTTCTGGACTTTGTCCTAGAAACTAAACAACTATTTACTATACGTAAATTAAGTCAGCAGGAGTGCTATCAAGGCCTGACACACAAGTTTTCTCACCATCAGAGATTCTGTACTTCACATCTCAAGGATCCAAACCTTGCTGTGAGCAGAGAAAAATATTTTCCCAGTTCTTTATTTTGTCCTTAAAATTAAGTCAGTTACTTTGTTTACTTTGGTACAAATGCTGCTCTAGATGAATGCAACTACTGGTAACAGCCTCTAAAGAAGTGATGCATGGAGAAAGTCTATCTAAATGCAACAAGGAAGCTTGATGTTTTTTGGTGTTTTTTTTTTTTGTTTAAAATTTTCTTCTCAGTCTTTCTACATGCCTTCATCAGGACATTAAAGAACTTAACCATACCTCAAATGCTAGAAGACACTAAGGTTCATCTTAATTCAGCTGCCCCTCATAGATACATTATGAGGGTTAATGGTCTACTTTTTTTCTTAACAATTACAGTTTCATCTGATTCAGAGCAAGGGACATTTACAAAACATTCTGCATGAAAAAGTGTCACATAACTGACAAATTCATCTCTTGTATCTCCAGTCTTATGCGGTGAGAACTGAATCAACAGCCACAAACCAATTTATACACAGTGACTATAAATTACTTATACTGCAAGCAGTCCAACTTGAGTCACATAAGCATTCAATGTTTACGCAACTGTAAATATAGGAACAGATATGAAACTTTCAATTTTTTCATTAAAGTAAGTCCATTTTATGATAACATACCCATAGATTGGCTAGCAGTTGTGAATTCACCCTGTACACCATTTTCATCTGGAGTCCTATGGTCCAGTCTGAGGCATGCTGATTCAACAGTATTAGGTTCTTCCACATCACTGTCTATTTGATTTAGTTTTTTGAAACCGCTTTTTACCCTACAAGGACTTCTTCTACAACATGAAGAGTCACTGTCCTGCGTTTCAGTGCTTGAATCAGTTAAAGCTGTATTGTATTTTTTGGTCAATGTCTTCTTTGCTGTGGATTTAGAAGGCGAGTTTTGTGTATCCAACTCATTTGGTAAAGGAGATGGTGTGTTGCTCTCTCCATCGGAAGAGGAAGATTTTATCTGTGCTGCAGCATTTTCATGGTAGTGGGGATTTGGTTCATATTTGGGTTTCTCTAAGCCAGGAAAACAGATTACAGCCAAAAACCAGTGGGCACTGCAAAGAAAAAATACTTTATTAACTAGCAATTACATTGGCGCTGTTAAACCTTAAATCTGGTAAAAAGAAAACAAAATGCTGTGCATACACATGCACACACAAAACTGAATCCTGCTTCTCACAGTCATCAAAGATAGACTGTACAAGCTGTTCACTTTTCTGAGCAGGTTTTACTCAAGCCTTCAGAGATTTCTGTTAAGGTAGGATCATTCCATGTAAGTAGTCACTAACAAATATATTAATATGATGCAGTTAGTGGAGAACAGGTGCTAAGTATTATTTCAGTTTTACCACCGTTTATAACCATCTTTTTCTCCTTTGAATAACAACTTATTTCTTTTTGAATATTTATCACAGTAAAAATTAAGCCGCGGAGTTTATGCTTTATGGTTGTATAAAGTTTTCAAGAATTTCATAATTCCTGGTAAAAGCAGGTAACTCAACAGTGACATGCTCCTGCTGTGTATGACACTTTCCATTGTTAAAAACAATCCTGTCACCAGTGAAGAAAAGAGAAGAAAAAGATGGTAATGCTATCACCTCAACTCTGTTGTCCTATTTACCCTTCACAGAACTACAAGGAAGAGAACTGACATTGCAACACTTTCAGGGTCAAATACAGTAATATCTTCTAACTCACAATAACATAGGAAGTAAGTTTTGTTCCACTTTCTTCCTTACATTCTTGCCATTTCAGACTTGGCTGACTTGCCTCTCAAACAGAAATGGAGCAGCAGGGAATTCAGGGATTGTGGCATTGAAAGTACATTTACACTGATCCTATTTATACATTTTCTGAAGGCTTTCTGATTTCCTATACCAATTAACAAAATGGAATCTAGCTACATATTATATGCAGATGAAATCATACTTGAATGTGCTTTAGAAAAAAGAGCAGTAGCTAAAATGCATGTCTGACATATTAAAAGGTTACTTAGATGACTATGAAGCCCAAATTCCATCAAAAGTCAATGGCAATTAAAGTAAGTGGCCTTCCAAAAGCAATAGGCGAAGTATGGATGCATTCTGATTTGAATGATTCACCACACCTAATTAATGAATTTATTGCAAAACCCTGGAATATGGGCAAATTCTATTAACATATACCTTCTGTACCAATTAAGTAAACAAATTAGCAATTAACCTAGATTTAAAAAGAAAATAGCTTGTAACTTTAAGAACTAATTATTTCCACTGGAAACTTGAAATGTACAACAAAGGACAGTGACACACTTCACTCATGGCCAAGTCACACATCTCATTCTTAAGCTAATTCTTCTGTAGATTCATCCTTCCCAGGATGCAGCTCTTTGTTATTGCAGCTCTTTGAGTGAGACCATTGGAAAGAGAAGTTTATTCTCTTCATTTTTGATTTCATGTCACACTATAATACACCTTTCTATTTAGAATGCAAAGCCTAAGCTTTTAGCACGTGCATTCAGTAATAAGGAATGTTTACTTACGCTTCATTAAGAGGAACAAAAATGAAATCTTTCTCAAAAATGTCAACGTGACGTGTCCACGTTTTTACTCGCCCATGTCGTTTTTGTTGTATTCTGAAAGGAGAAACACAAATGTGATTTGTGGAATGGTTTATTTGCATCAAAAGAATACCTTTTCTTGTATTTTCACATCAACTTTCACATAGTTTCTAAGGATTTTCAAGGTATATTTTCTATTTGTTATAGGTCTGGATGTTTCCTAGTTCTGTTTGTATCATGATACTGTCTGGAAGGAGTTCATCTCCTGTAATCTTCATAGCATTCAGCTCTTCGTAATACAGACTTATCAAAAGACTTACGAGAGGTTTGAAGTTTCATGAATATTTCTTCTTTCTCTTTGATTAAGGCGTTTGTAGAAGAACGAACTGAACACATGTATTCTATCAGCATCTTCTTTTTTCAGTTTCTCAAGTACCAAATACCTAATTAAAAAAACAAGTTACAGAGGTGTCAACATACTGAATTTATCACTTGAGTAAAATGGACTGCCAAGAGTACAACTCCCACAAAATTGCTGCAGCCTCTTGACAGAAGTGAAAAAGTTGTAACAGTATCAGGGCTAACTAACCACAGTACATTAACGAGTTCCTATCTGTGTCAGCATTTCAAGGTAGTAAGTGCTCTGCTAAAAAAAAAGCAGAAAAAAGTTGTTCTGCTCTGTTCTGCTGTGTTTATTTTTATATTATGACAGAAAACCAATTTGTCAACGAGTTTCTTACATACATATCTAGAAATGGTCTGTGTTTTGTAATTGAGCCACTGAATCTCTGAACACAGCCCAGACTACTGCAATACTTTTCTTTCCCCCTTCATCACCAAAACTGTACACACATTCCTTATGCACAACATAAACATGGCAGCTATGTATGAACTTAATATGCTTCTAACATCTGTGGCATCACTGACACAAAAAGATTAATTTATGCATTACGTTATTCAGAAGAAATGAAGTTCTAGGGAACACAAATACTCTGGGGAGAAAACAAACAAAAAAAACCCTTAAGTGCACTTAAAAAGGTAGTTAAAATTCCACTTCAGATGCAGAGAGATTTTAAGGAGCCATTATTCCAAGTGAGAACAATGTCACTGTCAAAAGAATGACACACCAAACAAACCAAAATTTCTACTAAACATACAAAACAACCTGTAAAATCAGTTACAGGCAGTTGACGACCAAGTGTTAATAAACGACGTAAAAAGTTTTAATGCCAGAATTTCTCAGTTTTCTAAGGAAATGAATACTAAGTATGGATTTGAAATAAAACTTACTTTAAATAAAAATCGATAATAACATCATTTAAAAATTCTCCTTCATTTAGACAGTGGAGGTCTTCATTGGTCACAGAAATACCACCTTTAGCTGGAGGAGGCGGATAAACTATCAGCCTGAAATGAAAAAATACATTCAATAATTCATGTGAAACATCAGAAAAGAAAACCAGAAACACAGTCACAAAGCAAATAAAAATATCTTACTTTTCTATGGGACCAATAAATACTGTATGTGGTTCTCCAATTTCTTCTTCATCATCAAAATATGGTAACTGTTTATTTCGCGGCTGCACTTTGGAGTCAGGAGCAACCTTATAAAAATAAAGCCAATATTAATTTGAAAATCATGCTCAAATTTATCAAAAAAAAAAAAACAGTAAAGCCTCGGAAGTCCAGAGGTGTAAGACCCACAACTTCTGAGAAGGACTTCAGTTTTTTTCCTTCTTCCCTGGTACATTATATTACAGTTATCCCTGTACTCATTTCTTGCAAAACCACAAAGCTTTCAAATGCCCTAAATATGTAGTTTTGTTTAAATGAAGTATTAATTAAATGTAACTGTAACACCGCAAGCTAATTCTCATAATAACACTGTATTTTACCAGTAGATGAATTTGGAGACAATTATATTTCAAATTATACTACAAGTTTCTCATCCTTTAACCATTCTAAAATGACATTATGTGGGGATCGGTGTGCAACCCTACAAGTAAACTAAACACACTAACAACTATGAATGCACAGACTACTTCCCAGAGCCTAATAACCCACTATAGACTACTATGATGGTCTTCATAAAAAAAAGCAAGCAGGAGTTTTTCAGGTATTTGCCTAGAGACTAGCACACTATCTTTAGTGTATTTGTAATCCAAATGATATAACAACTTTGTTCTAAAATAAAAATACAATTACATTTTTAATTTTGTTTTCTCTATGAGAAGGGCTTCCTTTGGAATTGTCTTCCAAGCATTTAGTAAATGCAACAAGTCTGCCATTGGCTTCTTCAAAGGAAATTTTCACGAAGAAGTCAGAAATATTATTTCTAATACCAATGTCAGTGATTATTTTTTCAAATATTGAGTTTGCATGAGGATCAAGGCCAGTTTCAAAAATTAAAATGATGTACTGTTCTTCTTGACCTAAGAAAAAGCAGAGAAAAAATTATTCATTTGGAAACGAAGTAAAGTGTCACATTTATAAACAGATGTCAAAAGAACCATGAGACAACACACGTATGCTCTCTGCTGACAACACATACATGCAGAAATAAACAGGTTTGCAGACAGACAGCAAACCCTACTACTTACATTTGAAATGAGTATATTCAATTTCTGCCCTTAGGAATATTAAGCATTATGCCTTACACATAGGAGACATACTGAATGCAAAGCCAAAACCTATTTCAAAATCAGAAGTTGCCTGCTAATTGAGAATAAACTCTGAGAACAATTTTTTTTTTTCTTATTATGGTTCCTACAATAACTTTTCAATACAATTACATAAATTACATATGAAGCATAATTCCATGTCCATATAGGAAGCAGCACACATTAACTTCTCAAGAGAAGCACATTCATTCATCTGTGGAAACAGAACTGATTTAGAGGTGTAGACAGGCTTTCGTGTTCTCAATACTAGAAATTCTCAGAAATAGTGACAAGTTGGGAAAAAAAAAATCCTATTTTAACTGGAGATAGCAAACAAATAGAATGCAAAATGCAAAACCACTGCTTAGAAAATACACTGAGAACAACTCAAACAACAACAACATCTTTGAGATGGCTTTTTCCAGATTTAAGTGAGGAAAAAAAGCATGGTGTTTTTCCAAGTAGCGGACATAGAACTGTACACCACACATTAGAAGTTCTAACAAAATTACTGTTGCTGATTCCAGGCACAGATGATTTGAGTATGTAGAAAGTACAAAAGCCCATAATGGCAATTTCACAAAAGAAACACTTATTTTTCCCTGATCAGATTTCGGTTACCATAGAAACAGAAATCTCTTAAGGTTCTTTGATTCAATCACAAGAGAAAAAAAAAAAGAGAAGAAAAAGTATGCATCTGAACAAGGAGAGGAATGAGAGGAATTTAAACTCTCACTGATCAAAATCTTCACATCTTTCCACAGGAGAAGAGATCTTACCACCTAGAATCAGAAAAGCCCTGCTTTCAGGCCATGTAACATAACCAAACCCAAACTTATCCACCTCAGGTGAATATTCTGGGAACAAAATACCACCTCTCTCTCTCATGAGCTACAGTGGCTTAGCTTCAGCAGGTCAGCTTGGCCTATCCCTTTACCAGAAAGTTGGGCAATGAGATCAATTAGCCACTGCATAGAACTGCTCCCATCATCTGACAAATAAAAAGGCAGTAAGCCCCTAAAAAGAATGAATTAGGCACACAGTTACAGGAATAGTATTCAGGCTGCAAATTCCTGCCTCATGCAGTTGGCTAACTGCAGGGACCTATTTTTCTCTAACAGAGGAGTTTCAGGCACTTGCATAACCATTTCCTATTCTTAACTCAGCATGCAAACCATTGTGAAAATGTTATTCAGCAGCCTGCCTCCGAATTCATTGCATTCCGAATTTAAGTGTCTAATTGGATTTTGCTAAGTCTTATTTTGTGAACTAGGCACCTACTCGCTATTGCTTACATGGTTATAGATACAAGCTTCAAATAATTTCATCATTGAGAAAGCAAACAGCAACTGTGCTCTCACAAGGTATTCATAAGTACCAAGTACTACAAAGCCGCTGTGTGAGAAAATAGCTCAGAGCCATACTCTCAGAGGAAAAAGCCTGGGGTGGTAGAGAAAGAAAGGTTGAGACAGGGAAGATCACAGAATCACCGAAGTTGGAAAAGACCTTCAAGATCATCCAGTCCAACCATCCACCTATCACCAGCAGTTCTCACTAAACCATGTCCCTCAACACAAAATCCAAATGTTCCTTGAACACCTCCAAGGTCGGTGACTCCACCACCTCCCTGGGCAGCCTGTTCCAGTGCTCCGTCACCTCACTGTAAAGAAGTTCTTGTGCACATTTGTGCGGAACTTCCTATGCTGCAGTTTCCAGCCGTTTTCCCTTGTCCTGTCTCCACTCACCACTGAAAACAGTCTGGCCTCGCCATTCTGCCCCCCACACCTTAGATATTTATAGACCTGGATCAGGTCCCCTCTCAGTCTTCTTTTCTCAAGGCTGAACAGACCCAGTTCACTCAGCCTTTCCTCATAGGGGAGATGCTCCAGGCCCTTCACCATCTTTGTGGCCCTCCGCTGGACTCTTTCCAAGAGATCCCTGTCTTTTTTGTACTGGGGAGCCCAGAACTGGACGCAGTACTCCAGATGAGGCCTTACCAGGGCAGAGTAGAGGGGGAGGATTACCTCCCTCGACCTGCTGGCCACGCTCTTTTTAATGCATCCCAGGATGCCATTGACCTTTTTGGCCACAAGGGCACACTGCTGGCTCATGGCCAACCTGTCATCCACCAGGACACCCAGGTCTCTCTCCGCAGAGCTCCTCTCCAGCAGCTCATCCCCCAACATGTAGGGGAGGTTGGGTTAGGTTGGTCAAGCAGAACCTGCCCATCACGTGAACCCCCATCACTGCAGCCTGGATTATCAACAGAGGGTAATAACCAGAGGGGCAGATCAGACTAGTAAGTTTTCCAGAAATATCCCTGATCCGGGTCCCAGGGAGGCAGCACACCTCCCTATGGGTAGGGGCAAGCCGACATAGTGGGCCTTCAGTTCCTTTTAGAAGGGAGTCACCTATGACTGTCACCCTCCTTTCTTTACTGGAGGATGCAGTCACCAAGTGTGGAGCTGACCGCCTCTTCTTAGAAAAGCTTGGAGGCAGTACTTCCACCTCATTCTCAGTCACCTCACCCTCCAGTTTCAGGGCTTCAAATCTGTTACACAGAGGCAGCAGGGGAACTGAAGTAGGTTGGGATGGGCATTGCCAGCACTGCTGAGGTGGGACCTGCTGCCATTCCTCCTCTCTTCTCAAGTTGGCTCTCTGTTTGACTATGGCAAAGGAGAGGGTCCACTACAGTTTGGGGGTTGCAATCTCTGCGTCTTTCTTGCAGACAGTCACACCACCAGTCTATCTCCCTCTCACACTCTCCAATGGTTAAAGAAAAGATTTCTTCCCCAGCCACGTCAGGAAGTTTTGCCTTTGTTCACTTGTGGACACCTGTGTTTGCCTGGTGGTCAAATGCCTGCTACTAGGACTGTTTGTATCATTCCCTGCAGGCTTTTCAATTACTTGAGTAATTTTAACACTCCTTACAGCTTAAACTTTTTATAAGATATGGAACAGCTCATTGTAACAGTATTTTGTGTTGAAAGCACACAACTCTGACATTATTGAAGGTTTTCTTCTTCCATTTGCATTTGAATGCATCATGCTTATATAAAGCCGCATACAAGTATAGATAAGCACAAAAATTAACCTTAAGAAAAGCCTAATTGCTTGAGGAGAAAATTACGCCAATTAAAAAACAGAGTGTATACAAACACTTTAGACCCTCAAGAAGGACTACGCTGAAATTAATTTTAAGACGTGTGAAGACAACATGCTTATTTTACAAACAAGTATTTGTCTATATTTAAAAAAAAAAGACACAAAAAACCAACACCACAAATAAACCCGTACAGAAGTTTCTACTCAAATCGCGGCCTGAAAACAGAACAGAAAACAGAGGTACACATACCAAAGTCAACAAAAAGATATAAAGGCATCTAGAAAAACACTAAATAAACCAGCTTCACTTTGGTTCAGTAGAACTATTAGTGAAAAAAGTACTAAACTAAACTAGCATGTATCTGGACAATGAGAAAACTGTAATTTTGCCAAGTTGTTCTGAACTGTTCTCCCTGTTAGCTAGGGAAGGCAATACCATCAGGAAAAATCTACATCTGCCCCAGACAACGATGCCAATTTTACTTCTTAGCGCACTCAGTCATGATCCAAACATTAAAAGATAATTTGAAGTGAAACAGTGAATTAAAATTGGTTTACTTACTGTCTCCTTTACATTCGTACCAGACATTATCTTTACTCATTTTCAGCTGGTCTCTCAGGCTACTGCAGGTTGATGGTACTGTTTGTAGAAAAACTACTGGTAATTTTCTGACACTACACCATTCACATTTGGTAAGTTCTGAAGTTTTCAGGTTTATCTCTCGGACATCACTCTCTGATTCTAGAAGAAAATTATGCAACTGTATCACAATCCAGTCAAAATGCAAAGATTTCCTTGATCATTTCCCCCTTGATTTTAATAGGAGATCAAATGCGTTCATTAGCCACTAAAGAAAGTTTGAAAAAAACTGAAAGAAACACAAGTGATGTTTGTTAAAAGACCTACTTAATTCTGATGTCACCTGGCAAGTAAGAAATTTTTAAAAACTGTTTTCTTCTCACCAACTTTAACCTAGTTCTTATTTTACAGAAGAACAGAGGAAGAAAAGTGACCATCTGAATCTGCAACTGTGGATAGGACACATTTTATGATAGCTTTGTAAAACATGCTTTGTAAATTTCTCTTTGTCCAGAAAGTAAACGTATGCAGATAACAAAAATCTGACCACCTATGGAAAATAATGTCCTGCATTTAATTGACTATTAAATAGAGAGAAATGCCAGAAAAACAGTAAATTGTTAACATATGAAAAAAAGTTCATCTAAAAAAAAAAAAAAAAAAAAAAAAAGTACCTATGTACCTGATTTTAGATGCAACAAACACCTGAATGAGAAGAGTCTACACTTACTTTTGCAGGCCTTGTGAGACACAACAGTTACAAAAAGTGATGGTCACCTCACAAATAACAAAAACAAACTTCAATTTTAGGTAGGACAGCATTTTCAAACAAAGGGAAGAGGAATAATTGTTAGCTCACCTCCTTAACTACATCACCATATTTCTTTCAGTAACGTGAAACATACACGCTTGAGAAGAAGAATGTTTAAAGGAAGATATACACAGGAAAGATATTAGGCACCTATCTAGCTTTCACTTTACGTATTTGAAATACACATAACGTTTTAGAGAAGGAAGGATTTTCCTGCCTGTGGTTTTTGTTAATCATTTTAATTAAGACCTTTGCGCCAATCACCACCAGTACAACTGAAGCTCTTCAACCAAGTTGAGGGGGAAGAACTAATGACCAATTTGCACACACACCACAAGTTGCTAATTCCTATCTGTGAATTTTATTTCTGTCAGTAGGAAGAAGAGAATGTAAAATCATTCTGATTCTTCTTCATTAGGCACCTCAGACCAAATTTATACTCTTGATTCTTTTGTTCTGATGACTACCAACACCCAGCACATTTTGTTACATATACAGTAAAACCAGAATTAACGTTTCATTGTGATTCACCTGTAAATTCCTTTGATAAAGTCAATTAAAAAGTATATATTGAGTATTAACTTAATGGGAGAAGTACTCACCTTCTTGACTTTCTAAGCGTATTTTGATATAATCCAGACAAAACTGCGGAAGATAACACAACAGTAAGATTTCATACCTTCTCCATAATAAAACTGAGTTAATGTCTTTTAACTGTTACTAGAGAGGTTTCAATAATTTTTTTCAAATGCAAATGTTAAATGAAATACAATACCAAGATAAACATTTTATCACAACTCAATGTATCAAGCATATTCTCTACAACTTGGTACTACTCCTTCAGTCATATTGTCTTAAAATTTAAGACATCTCTGAAATACTTTATTTCCAAAAGGTTCAAAGCACTGAAAAAACAAAGCACCTGAAAAAAATGCTATAAACTCTAAGGAGAAAGAAAACCCTCAAAAGACAATATCATCTATTAATATTCAAGTGAATCAAACAACAGATATTTGTAAAGAAGTGAAAAGAAGTACTGTTATCTGTTATTTGTGTAGATACTTGGGTAGGAAACACACATTTCATGTGGCCTACTATATGCCCTTGGCATTCAAAGACTCCTTGAAACCTCTCCTGAATGCAAAGTTAGCAAAATATATTTTTCTACAGAAGCAAAATAAAACACATGTAGAAAAAGACATGGTTCTTCCACCAACCTATACATTTATTTGCTTTTAATAACCATTGCCTTCTATTTTCTTAACAAATGTACCCTAATTCACACATTGCCTTCCCCCCAAATACACAAAGTAAGAGAAAAGGAAGGGATTTTGTAAACATGAGGTTTCTCTCCAATACCAGAACAAGACAGTATACATTACTACACAACGGTATCTATGTAATATGTGTGGGAACCTTAGTCTTTGAAACTAGAGACAGACTTGCTATTACACAGATAAAGGCAAAAAACAGTATGCTGTTCAAGTATGAAAATACACATGCCCAAAACCAGAAAGGAAGTTTGTAAATAACAAGTTTACTCACAATCACTGGTTCCACTACCATTCTTCGTAGGGTTCCTATTCGTATACTTCGACAGTTCAGAATGACACTTTCGCATGAATTTTGATAAGTTAGTGGTGGCACAGCCTCAGTTACAATTTCTTGAGAAATCAGTTTACGACGTTTGATTGGAGTGTTAGACACAATGTTGCCAAACTGAAAAGCAATGTTCAAGGTTTCAGAATTTTTCATTACGATTTATTGCTAAAACAAGCTGTTAAAAAGTACTGACTGATTTTTTTGGCTAGTTGTCTGCTGTCAACAAGACTGTTTACAGTAAGTCCACCAAAATTACATATAAAAGCTTGAAATCTCCTAAAAAAAATAAAACCTTTTTGCAACATTTGAAGATGTCAGTATTTTAAAACTTAAGAAAAAAAAAAAGTTTACACTTGTAGATATTTTGCTAAAATTTTGAAGTCACAAAAATTGCCAAAACTGCCAAAGAATAATTTAGGTTTACTTACATTCAAATACGGAATATCTCAGCAAAATCAGGTTATTTTAAATACATTTAAATTCATTTATACAAATACACTAATGCTGTGTAAGCACCTCAAATACTGAAGATTTTTTTCATTTTTTTATTAGCATAGACTTTTGGTGACTGAAAACATTGACTTATTACTGAAGTACAGTGCAATAAAAACACTAGCAGTAGAATTTTCAAGAAATATAAATAAACAAACACAATCAAAAAACCATAAAGGAACTCTGAAGAACCACTAATGTGTTTTTAGGACAGACTCCTGGGTTAGAAGACTAAACATTGAAACAAGGCCATGTGCAGTTTGGCTCCAGCTCAAGAAAATCTCCCGGAGCTGACTGACTACAAAAAGAGAAATCGTAAGAAAAACTAACAGGAACAAAAAAAAAAAAAAAAAAAAAAAAAGAAAAATAAGAAAGCTGTCTGAGAACCATCAGAAGAGAATATATTTATTTGTTGTATTGCTTTAATTGATACATTTTGTTAAAGAATTTTCTGCACAACAGTTTTGCTGCTTTGCTCTTAGATCTCTATCTCCTTATTTCATTAAGCTGCCTATTAATAAACATTCTTTTAGGATAAAAAATACAATTCAAATGCCATAGAAAAATATTTTAAGGGACTTAATACTCCATTAAGACTAAATCATGAGGATTACTTGAAAGCCTATAATCATTAGCCTATCTTGGTCATAATTCATAATATTCATTTGGATACTTCATTTAAATACAGGTGAGAAGACAGAGAGGAGAGGATCTACATCCCTGCAATTAAATATTTTCCGAAGACTCTTATTGAAGATAGCTGTCCATTTTTTCCACTGGACTACCAAAATATTGTAAAAGCTCAAAACTCAAAGACAAACAGTAACACAGTAAATCTTCCAATTAGCACTCCATTCAAGGACTCTCTTCAAAACAGAATGATTGCTTATAAAAATAAACCACCTTAAAGGATTTTCTTTTCTTTTCAATCACACTGGCAAGTGTTCTGGTATCAGTACTCTTATTGGTTTCCTTGAGACAAGTTTGTGATAAGTTTCACAAAAATAATGCTCTTTTCTACTATTCACTCAAGTACGCAATACATCTCTAATGTAACAAGTGGCTGTTTAAGGGTAGTGGACAGGAATATGAATATAGAAAGGAAAACGTCTGGGAGACAATCATACCTTCACAATGCAGTGCATTCACTTAATCCAGCATATAATGCCAGAGCAACAGAAATTCTGAACTATTTACTGTCCAAGCTTTAAGCCTCACCAGGCTCAGAGGCTCACAGATTTACACTGTGATTATGCACCACATCATAAATGTACATCATTTCATCAGTTAAGACACTAGACTACTGGCTTCTGAACCTCAACCTTGCTTGAAGGTTTCAACATTACTGGCATTCCAGTTCAGAAAAAAAACGTATAGATTTCAAATCTTAGTCACAATTCCAATTAGATACTCTTATTGGACTAAACTCGCAACAGTGAAACTGGACAAGAGAACCAAGAATTATTTCAATCAGCAGAATTAACTCAACAATCGTCACAAGGAATTTATTTTCCTCCTGTCTCACTATGAGGTAGGTAGTTTGTTGCTGTTGTTTTTTTAAAACATACCATGAAAGCTGTCCCCTTTGACAGCACTTAAGGAGTCTGACCATGGCACACTTTTTGTCTTTGTTTATCCAATTCCTGCAGTGGTTCTCAACCAAAAAAAAAAAAAGCCTCACCATGAAATCCTTAAAGTAAGTGCTGTTAATTGGGACAGATGTCAAAGTATTTTATTTATAAAGGGCCAATATTGTTCCAAATGTTTCCTTTCCTTTTCAAGTTTAACTTCACATGTCCCAAGTCTCACCAGGAAACAGTTTTGACACTTTTCTGCAAGCTGAGAAGGCCCTGAGTTTCAGAGATAACCTGTCCAGTCTCAGAAAGCAAGCATTCAACACAGAAGCATCCACATTAACAGCACATTTTCTTACGTTTGCAATACTGTATAAGCAGAGATATTAGTAGATGAGCTGGTGAATAAGAAAAGCAATGAAATATAGCCAACTTCCAAAAATGCAAGACAAACCTTCACACTTCTCATTTATTATTTGATTTTTGTTTTCTTCAAACAAAGCATGAAATAGTACCTGATCTTTCATTCTTGCTTTTCTTGGTAGTGTGACTGCAATTTCTGTATCTGTTGTAATACTACCTATTCTCTGTTCTATTCCACAACTGTTTTCCTTTAACGCTGCTTCCACCTTTCCTGTAGAAGGAGCTGGGGAGGAGCGGGCTGAATCTGCAGGACGAGGTGAAATGCTTTCCATTCTCCTAGTGCTGCCACTATCCTCCTCCTCATCATCATCACTAGATAAAACAACTAAACAGAAAATATTAAATTCTCAACCACTACATTTTTCTGTAACAGAAATTTCTTTACAAGCAATAGCTTAAAAAATAATTTATGTAATTGTCCTGCAGTAACAAAAAGCAGTCCACATTCACCATTATTTATAATGCTTTTACTGATAGTTTTTTGGAATCTGCTCACAGATGCTCTCTTCCTCACTTTTTATTTCCCACAGTTAGCTATACAAGAAAGATATCATCAACCCCCTTCTAGACATAGAAATGAAATCACTCATGTCATGTATCAACAAAGAACTAACAGTGAACATTAAGACCCTCTCTATGGGAAGCTTAGGTTTTAAAAGGTTATGTAAAATAGGCAATGTAAAGAAAAAAGTCATAACTCCTTTAGTCAGTTTAAGTTGCTCAAATCAGTAACATAACACGGCCTACAACACTAAACATAGAACAAGAGCCATGATTCCCAAATTCCATTTCCCATCTGCTTATTATTCTGAGTCACACAGTGAAAACAACAAAAAATAAGATTTTAGAGAGCATGAAACTTAAATAAATGAGAAAACCTAGGTAGCATTCAGATGTGTAGCTCAGAACAAAATATGGGGGAAAAAAAATATCAGAAGTATTTCCTTTGTGAGAACAGATGACAGTTCTGCTAAGAATACATTTTAAAAAAATGTAAAATTTACATCTTTAAAAAAACCCCATATATATATATACACTTTTTTTTTTTTCCCCGTGTTCACCTTTCACAGAGTACCTCAGTGTATGAAAAGGACATAAAAAAGTATGTTACGCCCCTCTTTCTTCAAGAACAATCCCACAAAAAGAACTCCATACAAAGTCAGCAAGTAAGCTTGCGTGGAACGTTTCTTCATTATACAGTATATAATACCCTGTATTCATGAAGTGGTACTTACTTGGATCATTTAGTTCTGATGGTCTTGTATTTCTCTGTCTTAAGTTTCCAGTAATTTTAGCATTTTTTGTCCCAGCTAGAAGACCAACTTTTCCATTCTGTCGCAACAGAGAATGTCCTACAACTTCATTACTCAGTAGAATATCTGCTGGACCTTTCCCAACAGCAGAACTATAAAACTTCTTTGTGTTGAACCCTGTACCTGAAGATTTTTGCCCTGCTGAGTTCTGATGTATTGAAGAACGTGATAAAGGTCCCACAGATTCACTTAATGTTCCAGCTTGTCTGGAGACTCTTTGCAAATTTTCACAATGTCGACATTTGGTCTGGTTTTCATTTGCCCGCCCACAATTTGGGCAATCAGTAGAGTACTCAATTGGTTCCAAAAGCTAGAGGAGAAAAGAAAAAACAAACCCCAACCGGTAACTGAACGATCTGAAAAAAACAAAGATACTACTTGCAAATTTTGCACTTAATTCTTGTTCAAAATGAAAACTGCCCACAATCCGTTAGCAATTACAGTAAGCACAAAGCAAGTACTAAAATTCTGTTACATGTTATCATTTAGGATGATTTCTAGTATGAAAAAATGTTTTTAACCATTTTCTGCAGTTTAGCAAAGCTACACATATCTGAGCAAAAAATAACAGAAAAAAATACAAAATTCACAGCAGACATATTGTTTGAGTGATGGGACAACATGTCAAGTCATGGGAAAAACAGTGTTGTGCCACAGTGCTGAGCTACAGAATCTACTTTTTACAATAATATTGCTAATCACATCGAAGTATTTCGATCAGACATGAAAACATTCAACAGAAGCTATCAATTATATGTGAAAGATCTTAAAATACAGAATAAATACAGACCTCCACCTCAATCACAAAACAGAAGTTTAGATCCAATTCTCTTCTATGGCTTGAGAGCCTACATTGTGATAGTAGGGGCACCCATGGCTGATTAAAAAGGGCAAACTCCTTTTTTTTTTTTTTTTTTAGTTGGACTCTATTTCAAGATTAATAACTACTTAAGTAGATGTTTTCTACATGTATGTATGTGTTGTAACTTGAATATTAAAGCATCCATAAAACAAATATTATAAACTTTTGAGCTAGATCTGTAACATATAAAATTTTTGCAAAATTTCAGCTTTTTTTTTTCAGTAAGGACATACGAAACAAAATCCTCCATCTCATAAAACTTCTGTAAATTTTTAATAACTACAAAGTGCAACCTGTTACGCTGTAAGAAGATGAAAACCATTTGTATTTTGCCTGAAAAGTAGTTGGTTGTTTACAATTCCTTGTCATGAAACCACAATTAACACTCCTTAATTTTTCAAAGGTTCCATTCATTTAGATACTCTGGCAATGAATGGTTCATGAAAAAGCACACTGTCACGAAGAAGTTCATGACAGATGCATAAAACATGTCTTAAAAGCCTACAAAACCTTTAAAAAAGCATTGTTTGTCATAAAAAATAATAGAGTTCTGCTAATAATATCAGTTGCAGTGAGATTTTTTTCTGACTTCCATATTCATCCACAAACTTGTAATTCACAGCAACAGAATTCTCTCCTTAACACGTCTATTATAATACCTCCTCCTCTGTATCTGTTAAATTGCCGAAAAGGAATGTTCCTACTCAAAACACAAGGCTCAAGTTAACACAATAGGCCCTACATGCAGAAAAGCGTATCCACAAACAGCAATCATAGGGGATCCTCTAGGATCCTCTAATCAACCCTAAGGTATTGGAGTAAAGGTTAACCTGGCTTTGTGCCACACTTCTTGCACTTGCTGGCATTGGGCAGCACAAGAAACAAAGTTGAGGACATATCTTGCGAGCTTCACGTAAAATGAAATTTAGGCACCTGCTGAATTACAGGTTTAACTTAAATCAACCTGTTTGATACAATTTGTGAGGCCACATCATTATTAATCTCTCCTAACGCATTGTGGAAAAAAAAGATAGGTTCTATTCCCTTTCAAGGATTACGGTTTGACAATTTTACTACAAGCACAGAGCTCTTGTGTCTGAGAAGGAGTAACTTTCCATTTATGAACTCAGCGTTCTCAACTCTACACACTTCCAAGACATAAACAGCAAAAAGCAAACAATATAATTATTAAATTCTTTTTACAAGCACAATCTGTCTGGTGGTTTTAGAAATGAAATCAAGACCCTGAAACAATGTAATCAAGTCCACCACTTTTTCCATCAGAGGCACAGAAGACCAGCTCACTATAGCTATGTGGTTAGCTACACATGGCCTGGCCCAAAGATTCTAATCTAGAACTTTTCTAGTGTGCTCTTCCCATGTGTGGCAAGTGGTTCTAGAGCTCACTACCATGGCTTTGTAACAGGAATAGTATGAAAGCAAACTTCACTTCTACATGCATATGGCCCTCCAGCTAGACCAGAATTTGCTGCAAGACAGCCTACAAAGATCAAAGTCCATCCACAAACAATGAGGCTGCTCTCCCTTCTCCTGAGCTGATTCACATAACTTGAAAAAAAAAAAAAAAAAACAAACCAAAAAAAAAAACCCAAAACCCTGTACACATTAAAAGATGACGTTTTTTAGATCCTCTGAATGAAACTTCACTACACTGCTTTATCAAGGTCATGACAAGATTTCATTTTATTTTATTTTTTTAACATTTTCAACCTACAAGATTTTCCTGCTTTTGTCCCTTACCTGACAAGACACAACATGTAACAACTGTTTCACTTCTTTAAAGGAACATAAACTAAGCATCAATGTCTTTTAAGGTTTGTGTTGTTGTTTTTTTTCAAATTATTTTGTTATATTGATTTTATAGAGTGTTTATTTAAATATTGTGAAGTTCAATGCATCTGTAGTTGAAAAGCTCACCAATCAAAACATCCAGTAACACTATATATTTAGTTAATAAAGCAGTAATATAATTGAAATATCTAATAGTAATGTCAAGTGTTTCATTCCAATGAAGAAATACAGGTTGACTGAGTGACCAAAACACAGGAGAAAACAAAGCTGATTATATATAGTAATCATAGATCTGTTTAATTTTTACCATGATCCCCTTCCAAGTTATTCCACTTTGATAGGCAGCAAGATCTGAACACGTGCATTACAAATCTTGTATAGTAATCTAATAAGAAACATGGAAAGAAGAATTTCCAATACAACTTGCATCTGACATTCAGAAAAAATTCTGGCTGCCTGCATTTAGGCAAGAAAATGCCATTTGCATGTCTGCTGGTTTCAGTGAGAAAGAAACCATCTTAACTTCTTGAAACTTTGTAATACTGCTGTACTTACTGAGTACCGAATTATTATTTTTTTCTTTTTTTAATGAATTCTGCCAAATAACAAAACATTAATCCTCTACTTCACAGACAGCAAACCAAAGTTATCCGTTCCTGGCTTATAAAAATAAACAAGAATCAATTTAAACACAGGTTCTTCTGATTTCCAGTATAGTACTTGTCTAACTCAGAAAACATGTATTTCATAATAAGCATCAACAGTTGAATATCTTTATCACCATATATATATATATATATATTTTATATGTATGTATTTTTTAGAATGTTTAAATCTTTCTCCTATCTCTTACAGATATTTGGAGTACTGACTTATTTCAAAATTGGTTTTTAAAATATGCATAAAGACTGAAAATTAAACCAAAGTTTATGTGGTTTTGTTTGTTTTTTAAATCTAGCCCACCTTCAACTGGGTCAAGCCTTTTTTTGCTGAAGATAGTGACAAGTCAGACTGAAATGAGTTGCAGTGACGTTTTTGTTGCACTTTTCTCTTAATTTCAGATTCAGATTCTGACTCTGACTCTTCTGTGTTTTCCATTACACTGTCTAGGAGGAAAAAAAAAAATGCAAACGTGTTAACAAGAAATGTCTGTTCAGATGTGCTTACTTTATGGTCTTATTTCTTCACAAACTCTAATGTTAACAACAACTCTAAAACATTCAAAAACTACGCTGTTTAACTCATGGAAATAAATGTCTCATGATTCTTATCATGAGCAGGTAAGAAAAATTTCCTCCAAATAATTCTGAGAATGTTGTTTTATTACTATTATTTCTGTGTCTCTTGGGGACAATTTATAGCATCATGTCTTTGGAGGAGGCCTGAGTCTCAAGAATATACAGCAAATTCACTACAATTGGAAGCAAGTTTCTGCTGAAAGATGATGAGGAACTGCTACATGATGCTGATGGTAATTTTCACAAAGAGACCACTGGTGAATGTATTTAGAATAAACAAAAATATTCTGTGCAATTTAGGATTTATTCCTTCCTCACAAAACTCAGCAAAATACAATGAATTATACTGCCAGGACTTGTTTTATATTGGGGCATTAATTTAAATACTAGGAGAGTACAGAAATAAAGAAGCCCACAATTCACTGCAAACTAAAACATACAGAGCGAGATTTTGTTTATAAGAAGGGTCTTATTTCAGTGCAATGTAAAAAAGCCAGTCTGATTCACTAGTTTAATTCCTGTTTCCATCCTGAAGTTTTTAAAAGGCTACAATTTTAATATTATATATGAATACTTTCTCAATTCATATACTGAGAGTCAAGCTAGTTCACAAGTTATCTATATCAGTATTGACAAAGCTGAAAAGAACACGGTGATTGTTATTGTTATTATTTTTTTTTTCTTTCCAATTTCACAATTTCCACCCCTCAAACCAAATTACATTTTCCCTCTTGCATGAGGTTATCTCCATAGATGGTCTCTACCAATGAGATAAGAGCATATATTAGGCGACATACAGGGCAGTGCTGATGCTGGGCTGTCCTATTCTTTCAGTGCATAAATGCACTTCTTACCAAGTGTGGTTCAGCACGCTACATTTTGCTTATACTAAAAGTATTACAGAAATTCCTCATCTGTAACTCAAGAACAAGTTGGGGGCTTGGTGTTAAGACAATAATCTCCAGACATCTGTTTCAAACCCAATAATTCTCTGGTTCTAAATACAATTTCATCTGCATCTAAATTAGAATGCTGTTAAAGTTCATTAAAACATCACGGAACAGGTTGTAGAAATCTGTCAAAAAGAGCAACATTTTTCATACTTGCACCAACAAGAAGATATACTAAAGATTACTCAAAGTTTGGCAATACATCTGCCTAAAGTACTGATTAAAAAAAATAATTCTGCTTAAAAGGAAAGAGAACTCCAGTACTCTTAGATAACTTACCCAGTCCTTGAGGCCGTGGTAACCTAATGTGGTCTGCTTCTACTTTCTGAAGCTGAGGAGGGTATTCTTTTCTGGAAAATAAATTACACATACAGTTGTTCTTTGGAGAAACACCATTATAATTCTGGCACAATTACTCACGAAAAAAAAAGAAAAATCAGAACTGCATCTGAAAGTTATGAATAAGTAACAATTACAAGAGAACTTAAAAAATATATATCTGAATGCTAGAAACCGCTACAGTGAAGGCCTTGAGTATTTCTGATCTAAATCCTTATTGATAATAATCAGTAGTTGAAGTCCCACTTTCAGACCAAAGTCTTCAAGAACTGATGCAAATATCTCCTCCCCCATATTCATAATCTATTAACATTGATACTTCAAAGGCTAAAAATGGAAAACAACTATTATTTTAATATTAGATTCCACAGCATAAAGTAGAAAAAACACAGGCAAAACAGGAGAGACGTGCAATGTCAAAAATTGTGGCCAAAAACAAAAATAGCATAGAAGAAATAATTTCTACATCTTTAAGAAAACAATATTGTGTAGACAAACTATTTGACAAGGGAACTTTAGACAGTATAATTTGCATACTATCACATTTTTATTCAGTCATATAAAGCATTATAATCTGATTCTCCTGAAAAAAAATTTCAGTTGCAAACAAGCATGCCAAATTATCCTACTGTCAAATTAAGATTCCAAATACAGCACCTTCGTTACTACTTACGACAGCCATTCCCCTGCTCATGCACTGATCCACAGCTGTAGATTACTGTTATGTTGTAACATAAGATGCCATACACCTGAAATACAGTAGGCCTTGCTAGTAGCCTACTTAATTCACTGCTGTGCAAAGGGGTCACATGCATCACATAATGCTTCCTGTGATTGCAAGGACAAAAATCAACAGTGAAGGAGGCAAAGGAAACATCTTCAAAAAACACAGTTAAATCTTGAGGGTTCACCTGATAAAAGAAATCATCTACGGTTGAAACAGACCAGAACTAGGAAGAAATCTTAATTTGTTTCAGTATGTAATCTCTTGAAGCACCAAATTATCAGGACCTTTGAAATTATCACGTGGGTTTTGATTCAACTGTACTTTTTGATTCACTCTCTACTTGGCAGGAGAGGTGGAGATAGGCCTGCACTGCACCCTCCCCTCCACAGCTTTCTGATGTCACTTGCGCAGTCCACACTCAGTTAAGCTATGCATAACTGACTCATGAAAAATAGTTAAAAATGACAAAATAATATTAAAATTGTACATCCTTGTGAGGCCATATTACTAGTCATCCAGGGCAGCATGCAGCTCACAGCTTGGACAGAACTGCTGTAGTTGAAGAACGAACACTTTGTTAACAAGTTTGCCTTATTTAGGGAGAACACAGTAAATGCCAACCATGAAGCTTCCTTTGTTGGCTTGGACCCTCAGTTTTATGCATAAGCTCTCAACCTGCTCCTCATTTTCTAGATAGCCCTGTGCAGCCTATCCATTTTTTCACAGAGAGGGCAACTGTCCCAGTCTTCCTTCCTTGTCTATCTCCCGAACAGTGTACAGCTACTGACTGACTGCAGTGCTTCAGCTGTGTGATTCATCCCACCAAGTTTCATTAACAGTGTTTAGATCACAGTACTCTAGGCACACAGTGACTTCCAACTCATCCTGTTTGTTACCCAAGCTACCTGCACTCCTGCACTGGGCACAGAAAGACTTCAGCTGGACTACTGTTACTTCTCTAGTGTAAAGTGCCTTAACACTATGGACATTTCACAGACATTTCCCTGTTGGCTGCTAATACATCAGCTTCTGTCTCTTCTGCTATTCAAAACTCCACTATCTTTTCTCCACTTAGAATCACACAGTGGTTTGGGTTGGAAGGGACCTTTTTTAAGATCATCTAGTTTGTCTCCCCTTCCCTGCTATAGGTAGGGAAAACTCCTACTAGATCAGGTTGCTCAAAGTCCCATCCAGCTTGGCCCCGAATGCTTCCAGGGACAGGGCATCCACAACCTCCAGGCAACCTGTTACAGTGTCTCACCACCCTCACAGTAGTCTTCCTTAATAGTGTAAACCCACTCTCTTCCAGTTTAAAACAATTTCCCTTCATCCTGTCACTACCTGTCTGTCCTTATAAAAATCCCTCCCCAGCTTTCCTGCAGGCCCCCTTCAGGTACTGGAAGGCCACTGTAAGGTCTCCTTAGAGTCTTCCCTAGGCTGAAGAGCCCCAGCTCTCTCAGTTATACTCATAGTGGAGGTTCTCCAGCCCTCTGATCATCTCTGTGACCCTCCTCTGGACTTGCTCCAACAAGTCCTTGCTGTGTTGGGGCCCCAGAACTGGACGCATTCTCCAGGTGGGGTCTCACAAGAACAGAGTAGAGGGGCAGAATCACCTCCCTAGACCTGCTGGTCACACTTCTTTTGATGCGACTCAGGATATGGTTGGCCTTCTGGGTTGCAAGTGCACACTGCCAGCTCATGTTGAATATTTCATCAACAGACAATCCCAATCACTTCAGGGCTGCTCTCAAACCATTCTCTGCCCAGCCTGTGTCTGTGCTGGAGACTGCCCTGACCCAGATGCAGAACCTTGCACTTGGCTTTATTGAACTTCATGTGGTTGGCTTGGGCCCACCTATCAAGCCTGTCCAGGTCTCCCTGGATACATCCCTTCCCTCTACTGCATTAACTGCACAACTCAGCTCAGGTGTCATCTGCAAACTTAATGAGAATGCACTTGATTTCACTGTCCATGTTGCCTACAAAGATCACAGAATCATGGAATTGCTCAGGTTGGAAAAGACCTTAAAGATCATTAAGTCTAACTGCAACCTAACCATACTACTCAAACTGTAACAACCCTCCACTAAATCATGTCCCTGAGCACCACATCCAAACAGTTTTTTTTTTTAACACATCCAAGGATGGCGGCTCAACCACCTTCCCAGGGACCCTATTCCAGCACTTAAAAATCCTTTCTGTAAAGAAATTTTTCCTGATATATAACCCTGGAGCAACTGAAGGCCATTTCCCCTCATCCTGTCACCTGTCATCCGTGAGAAGAGACCAACCACACTTTTGCTGTAAGCACCTTTCAGATATTGGAAGAGAGCAATAAGGTCTTCCCACAGCCTCCTCTTCCTCAGACTAAACAGCCCCAGTTCCTTCAGTCGCTCCTTGTGGGCCATATTCTCCAAGCCCTTCACAAGCCTTGTTGCCCTTCTTTAGACCTACTCCAGCACCTCAATGTCCTTTCTGTGCTGATGTGCCCAAAACTGAACACAGTACCTGAGGTGAGGCCTCACCAACGCTGTACAGTACAGGGGCAGGATGACTTCCCTCATCCTGCTCACCACACCATTCCTGACACAAGCCAGGATGCCACTGGCCTTCTTGGCCACCTGGGCACACTGCTGGCTCACATTCAGCCAACTGTCCATCAGTACACCAAGGTCCCTTTCCATTAGGCAGCTTTCCAGTCATTCCTCTCCAAGCCTGTAAGGTTGCCTGAGATTGTTGTGACCAAAATGCAGATGTTAATAGCACTGGTCCCAAAACAATCCCTGAGGAATGGCCACTCGTTATGGGTCTCCACTTGGACATAAGCCATTGACCACAAGTCTGAGTGCAGCCATCCAGCCAATTCCTGAAGAAAACTGAAGAAAAAACCCAAACTCAACCAAAGAAACCCATACAAACAAAAAGGCAAGGACTACTATCAGCACATAGTTTTTACTGCTAAACAAAGACTTCTTCAGCACAAAAATGTGCTGTCTTTTGAACACTGACAGATCCATTGATACATTCTACAGTGAAGTACTTAACACAGTGAACAGTTTGTGCATAAACATAAAAACATAATGCAGAATGGAAATATATGCTTTAAAAGATGAATAAGTCATGTACTCATCTATCCTTAAAAGGACTATTTGGAAAAGAATTTCAATAGTTTTAGAAAAGAAAACAATATTACAGAATATTACAATGCATAAAGCACTTCAAAACAAATACTTTTTTGCTGTTAAATCCTGTTAATGAAACTCAAACTAGTAGTCTTCCTTAGGGATCAAACAACTGAAAATGCCAGACTATTTACACATTGTATCTAATAAAGAAGGAACAAGCAGGGATTCCAAAGGGAAAATTTAAGATCACCAGAATGCGACTCAGTCCTAGTTTTCTCAGGGCATAGAGTACCAAATTAAAAGCATTAATGACCAAATGGTTGATCAATAACAAACACAGAACAAAGAAAAACAGGGAAAAAGTACGTGAAATCAAAGCCAGGCCAGTAAAAGGGATGACCAAACATCTTAATGGTTTAAATCTGTGTTACAGCAGGTTCATTAGACACTAGGAAAAACTTCACTGATAGCGTAGCTATAAACTAGAACAAGGCTTCCTAAAGAGATGGTTGACTTCCTGCTCCCATCCATGATTAAGAGGCGTTTGGATAACACTGTTAATGATACATTTTAACTCTGATTAGCCTTGAAATTGTTTGAAAGTTGGATGTGATGATCTTTGCACGTCCCTTCCAACTGAACTACTCTATTCTATTCCTTGCAAGAGGGCTAAAGCTGACTGGTCAGTACTCCTTTGTTACTCTCTAACTAATAACAAAGGTAGTTAAACAAAAATGCTTGGTTTTACTACTAAATTTGAAATAAATCTACAAAACTGTGAATTGAAAAAAAAAACATATCTAAAATAGATTTGTTTTATATTGTTACTGGTTAAACATTATAGATGTATTTTAAACAATTAAACCTGATATCAAGCTTATACTGTCAAAACCACATACAGATATATAAATAAATAGAAGTGAATAGATTATTACCAACGAAACGAAATGCAAAATATGCTGCTAAATGAAAAAACACAGGCACTAAAAGAGATGTCGAGCATTTGACAAACATGTGACAAGCCTTACAGTATATCTGTTCTTGCTAACACTTCAGTTAACTGCTTTCACATACACACTTTATTAGCAGAATGTATGCAGTAATACAATAAAAGCCTTTAATACTACTCAAACCAAGATGAAAAAATAAGAGCTAAGAGTTTAAGTTGTCAAACAATCTACTAAGATATGCCTCAGAAACATTCTATTACATAAACTTTGTTACTCTAAGAAGGCTTCAGAATGAAACTCCAGAGAAAGTTAAAACTTATCTCTTTTAATAATATGGATATCCATATCCTTCCCCCAACACAGATTTCCAGCAGAAATATACCCAAAGTTCACTGCAACATGGTATTATTCAGAAATGGATGTAAAGGTTCTTTTTGTGGTCTCATTATCATCTTTTATCAAGAAAAAAAAAAAAAAAAGCAAACAAATCCCTCACATAGTTATGATTGACTGGATTATTTTTTAATTAGCATTGATACAATATTAATTCAGCTGATTTTCTTAATGCTCATTGCCATGCTCATTTCATCAACAGCAAGCTTACCTTTCCTTTCGGTCCAGATTGCTTAAAATATGAAAAAAGAAAAAAACACATAAGATGCAAAGCCCCACATGTGTTGCACATCACTAAATTCAAAAGTTATTAGATGTAAGCTGTAACAGTTTCACTGCCTCCTGTACTCACTGCACTATCTTTCAAATGAGCATTATTATTATTATTCACAGCATTTTTGCAACAGTAACTATAAATGCACAAACAAGAATTACTTCTCAGAAAGCAAATGTCAGTAGGCTAAATGCTACTTGCCCCCTTTTCAGTGTATAAAATTTAATTCTGAACAAATTCTGAAGAAAAAAAACCCACATACAATCTGTAGAATGCCTGGTATTCTGGGAAGAGAGTAAAATGAATTAAAAAACTATTTGAACACTTAATGTTTGAGAGGATGGGATGATCAGTAAATGCTGCAGTTAAGTGGTTTAAAAATATCACAACTGGAGGTTGACTTTACAAACTTTTGGGTAGATCACGTCTGAGTTTATGAATCCAGTTAGATCCAAACCACCTCCAAACGTAGCCATTTTCCAGTATCTTTATATTCTTGGCACAGCAAATGTGTAGCTTGGATTAACTGTTTGCAAGTACAATACAGGCACTGTAAAGAATGGTAAGTGATCAAGAAACTGAAAGATTGCAGAAAAAATATACTGCACACTGTCATTACACTAAATGCCTCACCTGCTTGTTTTAAAATCCCCTATTAATATAACGCATTGAAAAAAATATCTCCATTTTGCATCTTAGGCAATCCTCAGCAGAGCCCAGAATCGTACAAGCAGTGTCCCCACAAATTGCTTCATGCAAGTCGTGCATTAAGACTGGTTAGACATGCTGTACATAGCACGCTCTTCCAATGCCAAGTCTTAGAGAACAGTCAGTCAATAGCGTAAGACAGAACTATGAGTCCATTAAATGAAGCAACATCTGTTTGAACCAACCACAACACCAGGCTATATCTGAAAATCTCTTGCATCAGAAGTGAATAAAGTTCAATTTCATCCCAAGATTCCACTGGAAAAAATATGAATAATATTTATCAAAATATTATTTTGAAATGCTCTTTTTTTTTTTTTTTTTTGTATTGAAATCACATATTTGAAATATCAGCGCAACAGATATTCAGCTAGCATTTAAATTAACATGCATGTGCAATCAAGTCAGAGGAAAAGATGAGAAACACAGCACATATCACAGAAGCTCCAAATTCAACTCCGTGGGGTTTCACAATTAGAATGCCCTATGTGACCCCACTCAAGGAACCATACGATTCAGTCATGTCAGTGCCAGAGACAAAACCTACTCAGAAGTAATTTGTTCTTACTTTTATTTTATCAATTCAGTAACTCAATACAGATTTAAGAACAATATGTTAGGTTTGTTAAAATTTTTTTCTTCATAACGAAATTGATCAACATACAGGAAAAAATCTAGAAACAAAACTTTGTCAACACCTGTAAATTTACACAAGAAAAAAATGACACCTTAGAACTGTTTCCACACTACCAACTTTCTTTGTCTTGATCTACCTGGAATTTCACAACTGGTTACGTTTTCTGCACATATTCCTTTCTAATAACTACCATTTTCTAACTCATAAATATAGACCTTCCAGATTAAGCAGCATTAGGAACCTCTTGCCTCAGGGGAAAAACGGTATGGCATGAGCCCATCTTCTATCTGCTAACTCATAAATAGATTTAGAAGCATTCAAAGAGTCGTCAGTCGAGTCAACTGGCAAAAGATAATGAAATTAAAAATCCTCTGGAAAGCTCACCCTTAAATTCTAAATACAAATCAGTCGGATAACACTGATCTGCAATTCCCCAGTTGCAAAACATTACTTAGAATTTTTATGACTATTTCCCACCTCTGAGAGACCAAAAACATTTTTGACAATAAGCATTAATTATGTGGAGTTAATGTAAATGAAGTAAAATAACAATCCCAGAAGTACATTTATTTAGAAACAACCAATATGATTTTTACCAATTACTTCATGCGGTATTCAACTTGCTTATATTACGCGTTAGTTTTCTCTCTGTATGTCACACATACAAGGTCACTACTTTCTTTTCCTCCCACATTATGTTAAAAGCTTATTAAAAAACCAACACATCTCTCATTGGTGCAAAAAGGCAGGTAGGCAAGTCAAATATCCCCTCATGATTAAGATCAAGGCATTCTGGCCAGATTCAGCCCTTTTAAATTTAAGCAATGAATTCAACGGCCCAAACAAATAAGCCATCAAACATCTTTCAACTGCAAAAGAGGAAAAAAGAGGCACTACTCAGAAATCTACACACTGATGGTGCCTCAGGGATGTCAGGTAAGACAAATCCATCTCCATAGGCCGCTTTGAAAAACCATTTCATAACAGAAGTTTAATCAGTACACTAATGTTGTTAGGGACAAGAGCTCTCTCATGCGGTTTTCTGTCCACTTTAAGTAACTCTGATTAGCTTTTATACCTCAATTATTTTTTTTTTAAAGGAAGAAAAGGAAAAATGAAGGGTAACTGCATAAACGTTTAAAGATGCCTCATGCTTTTCTCAACAGGATGTTGAAGAAAACTGTTCTAAAAAGGACTGCATATAACAAGAGCATAGGTGGTGCAGTCTAAATCGTACTGTCAACATAAACATTGTCTTCTGATTTAATTCCCGGGAAAAACTCTACCAATCCTCTTCAGAGATCCTTGCCTCACAGTGATGTTAAGAAGTAGAAAAAAGCCATGACATTACTGCTGCATCCGCTACTACTGAGAACTAAAGGGAAGTGTCTGTGCTGTTTGCCCTTTACAGGCCACAGCGTAGGTAGAAATGGAAGGATGTGACAATGGTGTATGTTCTCAGAGACTGAAATGTAAAATCCATTTTTGGTTTGCTTCCTCAGTGCCAGATTACCCTCTGCACTTGGATCCCATCACTCATTCACATTTGTACATGGTCTCTGTTATTCTGAAGACAGATGTGAAAATGAGGGAAGTGGTACAAAAAATAGGACGATGCCCACATATGATCTTCATGACCCCAAAAATTTACACACATACACAAAGGAAAAAAAAAAATAAAGGCAGAAAAATGAGGTTCCAAAATGCTGAGGTCAGTGGAGATTCATAAAACCCATAAAAGGGGCTTCGAACGGACAAATTTTAGAAGAAAATTTCTTAATGCTCCTATGTTAGCTCATATGTTTGTGAAGATGTTTGCATATGAGAAGTCCAAAACACTCGTATTATTAAAAATGTGGTATGCTCTGAGTTTCAAAATAACAGTGTTTAAATCAACATGGTTGAGTAAAATCCCGTAGTTTTCTATAATCTATTCCAGCAGATATTAATATAAGTGTAAAATCTCACTTCTGTGAACTGGACCAGTTTATACATTTTATGCTGTATTTAAAGACATGACCATCACATCTATTGCTTAATTGTTAAGTAGGCCTTACATAGCCAGAATTTTCTTTGAAATATTATTTGATTATCACATTGCCAGTTACATTAAGTTCTACTGCATGCTATGTCTATTTCAAAGTATCTTCTCAACGTATTTTCATCAGGTATTCTCCTATTGAATGTTTGTCAGCATGCTTTAGCATCAGTAATCTCTAAGAAGTTATGCAATGAGTTATAAACAATGAGCTTCATTAATTGAGATCAAGGTTCACGCTCAAGTATGCACCATGTAATTATGTTTCCTTAAAACACTTCACAGCATAAGGAAAACAATTATGTACAAAACCAGAAATAACTTCCTACAACAGGAACACCTGGATAAACAAATCCACTTAGTCCTACCTTTGGGCTGCTGTTTTTACTCCTGTTGTCTGTGCATGCGCATGGTGAAAGCGTCTACCATGTACCACAGTTACAGGACAAGACACATTCTGAGCATTTTCACTGCAAAAGTACAGAAAAAACGTTTTAAGAAAAGATTCTGTTGGTTTTTTTTTGTTTGTTTGTTTTTACAGCGCTTACAGTTAAAAATTGTGCTGCCCTACTTTTACAACAGTCACATAAAAACAATCAACAAATTACTTCTGAATCAATAATGTCATGTGTTAGCTTATATTCAGTAGTCATAAAAGCATTAGATCGCAGAATAAAACAGACAGATAAGAATGCTCACCTTTTTGCCCCCAAGAAGGTTAACACTTTTTAAAATCAAATTTTATCACTATTCAAAACACCTGTGAACCAGCTCTCCTTTGCTCAATCTCCTCACTCCAATACTGTCTTTTTGAAATGAGATATAAGCATTTATAATTAACTTCATTTTCCCATCTACACATTTTTCTAAGACAAAGCATTTAATGCAATCAAGAAGATTTATACTGCATAGCATACAAACAGACTGAACTGTACGTTTGGGAAGTTCTCAGATATCACTACTCCTTAGGGAAAGCAAACACGGCAGATGTGTGGCAGTAACATGGCTGGTAGCTGAAACAACGCACCACAGCTCAAAAAGGAAAGATGCTGCTGAACTATCCTGACAGGGCTCTGCACAGAAGTAGTATATTCCCCAATATTCTTTACTATTTCTTCATTTTCCTCATTTATTAAAAGCCTTTCAAGGCTTTAATCTCATTATTACATAAACCAGGTAATTCTGAAGGCACACCTCCCTCTTATAATTTTTTTAAAAGGAGATACAAAGAAACAATTTTCTGCCTGATAAATGAGTAACGCAATAGTCCTGTGAAGACAACTATTAACCTGTGCACTTCTACTACAGAACACACAATATTGCATTTAAAATGTTCAAAAAGTCATGCACTTCGCAACAGGTTGCATGCCGGTAACACTAATTGCTTCAAATTATGGAAACATAACTTAGATTTAGGTTGTAAAATTACTTGGACGTTTTAGCTGTACTAAATAAAGGAACATGAAAAAGCATTCCAATTGATTAAAAATATTTATCAGAAGTATTATTCAGCTAAATACTCGTTTCCTCTATTCATCTTGTAATGAAAAAAATCAGGAAATCGTAAGGCCCAGATTTCCCAACAAAACTGCAAATCAATTCCTAATCCTTTTTATCCCCCAAAAGATGAAGATGAAGAAGAAACTCCTCATTTTAATTTTTAAAATTTATTTTTAGCTTTTTTTATTTATACCAAATATCGTAAGAAAAATTAGATGCTTTCCAAGCATTTCTGAATGACTGTAGCATAACGTGACTGTTAGAACCTCACTGATCATAACAGAACTGTGCATATAACAGAACAAGACCTACCTAAACCAACCAAATGGTAAAACATCACGTTCAATCATCAACATCATGGAAGTAAAGATAAATACTTTCCCACAAACCTCTAAGCCAAGACTGCACGTTGTCTAGACCAATTTACAGCCAACCTTCAGTTTAGTTCACCTGAGAAATATAATCCTGACAGCAGCCTGTTCTAAATACTTGACCATCTCTCAGATCCTCCCTGACTTTCAGTTTCTCTCCATAATCTCTCTTCATAATGAAGAGATACTAGACGAGAAAACACAGGGAGAACACAGGAACTTCTTCTCAAATGCTAAAGAGTTGCACGGTTTAAAACAAGCAAGTAAAACTTGAAACATACATCATGTTTCATGATTTTATTTGTTGTATCTGAGCTTTGCCAAACTATCATGATTTGGAGACTTCCAGTCTTATGCTTCCGCAGCAGATAAAGCCATTTAGCAGTGCTTCTGCTTTGTGCCTCACACTCAAGTAGTGAGACACTCCTGTAGGCGCTGGAAGAGAACATCACAGTCTGCTGGGTGATCAGATTTGAGTCAAAGCAGACTGTTCTAGATGGTACACTTAATCGTTTCATATGGAGTCAGATATCTTTCCATGTAGGACAGCTGTAAAATACTATCTGCTCTATGATCTTAGTCTTAGAATAGAACATAATCAGTACAGACAGAATCATCAGAGAATTTCATCAGAAATGTAGCAAGTTGCAGCACAGCCACAACCAAACAGAAATTGGCTTTGCAAGCTTCAGCACAGCTTCAAGAAAATCACAGAACATTGAAACTTGTCAGAAAGTATGCCCAAAGAACAAACATTCTAGAAATCTCAAAGTTAGACTACAATGACAACACCGCATCACTTAAAAGAGTCTAGGCTCTGAAGAAAACCAGGTTACACTATCACATTAGATCAGCTGATCCTGCTAGCTTGGGAACATCGCAGATTAAGAAGTCAGAGCACAGAGAAATCTTGCACTGACAACAAGGGATAGATCTAGAAGTAACCGAGCACAGCATTTCAGAAACACAGAACACTATTACAGACTACATTAATTCTGCTGGTCATTGAATAACTTCAACTAAACATTACCAAAAAGAAAATCTAAGGGTTTTTATCATGAGAACCTTTGATATAAGTTATTAAAAACTGGCAAAGAAATGAGCAATCCAAAATGAGATCTTACAACAAATTAAAAAAAAAAAAAGCAGCTAAATTAGGGTTTGATACTAAATTTGTTTAAAACACATGCCTTGTTGTACAACACCAAACAACAGGTAAAAACTATGGGTTGGTTTAAAATATCCTTCATGCAAGTAGAGCTGCTTAAGGAAAATTTCTTCTCATTAGCTCTGCATCCTTCTATCCTTACCATCTTCCTATCCCTCATTTCCTGAATTTTAGGAAATACTAACGGACAATAATACTAATATTACTGAGTCACGCTCTCAGTAATCTTAATGAAAACCACCAATATGAAGTTTTCAATTCTTACTCTGCAGACAAGGTTGAAAAACTTCAACTTTGTGATAAAAAAAAATCATTATGCGCAGATGCTCAAGAATCTCAGGCATCTGATCTTCTTGAACTTCATCTAGCAGCTAAACTGCATTACCAATCCTTGGAATTTTCTTTAGTCCAGTCATTCAAACACAGACCTGATCACTAGTATGCGCCTTTCATGATACACCCTCAAAGCTAACACATCACCCAATCTTCACTACAGCAGCTGGATCACAAACCTTCAGTTATTGAGGATTTTGTTGGATTACAAAAGATGTAACACTGTCACAGTTACAGTACTGAATTGAGGCAATGGCTTGCAGTATACTCACATTTCCAAGCAAACTGATTTTGCAAAATTCAAATAGGAGTCAGTAGACAATGATCAGTAATACCAGTGTTAATCAAAAGTCAATTGTTTACATCAGTCACAACGGCCGACTCCTATCCCTCCTCTCCCAATAAATTCATCCATTAATGACTGTTTCTTAAGGAGAAGGTGGATATTTACACTCTCCACGTAACTTCGTGCAGCTCAGTAGCAGGCAAAAGGTGGTTGCTGGCTTTCAAAATAGAAGATGGGATCTTTCAGTAAGGTGACACACGTCCAGATTTAAATTTTTTTAGTTGAGTTTTCTAAATTTTCTGGTTTTAGGTTTATAGTAGTATCTGTCAATGGAAGGTAGATCCAACACAAACAACGGAATGTTGGAATTAAATGCTTAGCACTTCAGCAACTATTTATCCACATGCATTTATTTTTTTAATTTCAGTTACAGAAGAAACTTCAGGATCCCTAAGAATTGGGTTTTTTTGTTTCTTAATTTGTATTTTCTTTGATAAAAAAAATAATAAATGAATTTAAGACCATACACATGCTACAGAAGAACTAAATTAGGGACTTGCATAACAATTGGTTAAGATATTGTGTAAGCTGTCACAATGTTGCTGAACTCCAACAAGACAGATTAACACATGTAAATAGGTTATAGTTACAACGTTAAGACAAAAAGCCCTTATTTTGCCGAAAGTATCTGTAATTCATGCGTTCATTCTTCTGTAAGAATCTGAAGGATCAGTTCAGACTGGGAATTCAGGATTTGTTCCCTATACATCAGGTTCAATGACTGAAGAGCAGGAGAGCACACACATCACACTACAAACGTAGGATTTACTTTCTGAAGTGACTCTGTCGTAAGTCCCACTGACCACTGATGCTCTACTCCTCATATAATTACATAGGCATTAAATATCTGATGACTGGCAAAGTTATAGCTGGATAAGGATCTATTCATTCCTGCAAAAGTAACCACACCAAGAGTAATCTAGCAATATGAAATTCTTCCAGAGAAATTATATGAACGTATCACTTTCTGTTACACATTAAATTAAGTGATCAGTCTTATAAGACATTAGAAATACTCTTCTGTCAGCACTGTATAGAGGAAAACAACAGTTCATTCAGACAACACTGGTACAGCACCAACAAATGCAAAAGCTCTCACTTTATTTTAACCTTTTTCACTGTTTTACTAGTGAAAACTACTACTTACTTACTTACTACTTACTACTACTTACTTTACTAAGATTTCAGAAGAAAAATGATCTACTCTTCTGTCTTTGTTCAGAAGTGCAGAACAGTGTAGTTTCTTCATATGAACAGAAGATAATGTAATCATACTACAAGTTGTCTTCACTTGTCATTAATTTTTATCAATGATTAAGTACTTAAGTACACAGAAAACTCAACGCAGTACCTCAGTTTCTTGCTATTTCCCATCATGTTGAGGCCAATTGCATTCCCTTTAAAAGGTCTCAAGCTTGCAGCTTTGCCTCGCCTCGCGTATGTTTTTATGGAATCACCGCTGATGCCGACAGCTCCAGGCCGACAACGAAAGGACTGTAACAACAGAATTCATGTGCATGACAATACAATACTTGTATAAAAAGTAAAAACAAAACTTATTGTATTTATAGAAATACTACTTTGGCTTCATTTTCAGATCGCTTTGACAAAATTTTATGTACAATCTACCCAGAAGCCAATTTGAATGGAAGTCTTGTTTTTAACTTCTTAGAAATTCTTCTGAAGCTCACTGTACAAACATGATTGACTGTAGAGTCCTCCTCCATGTAATTTTTCATCCTGGAGAACAGAATTCTACAACAAGTTCTCTAGTTATTCTTCTCCAGACAGCCTATTTATTAAATATTTTACATGTGAAACAGCTTTATGCCTCTCAGATGAACATGAAAAAATATACACAACAAAGCTAACCTGCTTCATATCTAGAATGCTGGCACCAAAGTTGTATGCACACCTTAGATACAGGGTATGTCACCTTTCAGATGCAGAATAATGGGAAAGGCATGTTTTGAGAAAACTGAAATTCAGTGAGACAAACAGAACAAAATGACTTTTCCAGAAGGTCTCCCATTCCAATGACAAGGGAAGTCATTGGATACAATCACCCTCAAGTTTGCATCTGTCTCACAGAACCAAGAAGTGTAAAACAAACTCTAATTTCTGAAATAATTCATTTTCTGTAAATGTAGTAAAATGCTCTTAAGTAGTAGGATTCCTTGCTAAATAAAACAGTGATACTTTCAAAGCATTATGAACCATCTCTGCAGTAATAAGCTATTTCTAAAAACACAAAAAGCATGAGTTCTGCCTGTATATACACATGTATGCATAGAAAATTGGAAATTGGATATTAAAATAAGCTCACTAATGAAAATTGTCTAAATTTAAAATTCGTTATTCATGTTATTATTTTCAGAGCACTCTAACAACTAAGGATCTCCAGGCTGAATAGGAAACAAAAAGCATGCAGATAAACAAGTTGAGCATACAGGCTGCCGAATCAACACGAACTTTCATTTTGCAACAATGGACAAATGACTACGCAACATTGTTTTAAAAACTAGCAAGCTCTGAAGATACCTCTTCACTATGAGATAAACCGAGTACTTACCTTTCTTTCTTCATTTGGACCGAAGGGCCCATCACTGTCATCTATGCTGAGCAGATTTGCCTCACTAGATGATGACAGGCGTGGGAGAAAAAAACAAACAAACAAATGTTGTAAAGCAACAGAGTATAAGCAAAACATTTGAATCACACAAAGGTCTTCTTTTTTTCCTCTTATCTTTTAAATACAAATGCATATACATGCCCAAAACAGCAGGAACATTAAAGTGGGCAATATAATTATCAGGATATATTATGGGAACTTAAACTTGAAGCCTACATTGAACTAATTCCGGAATAGCAAACTTAAAGGACATTACTAATTCAAAACAGAGAATGCTATTGAAACTTCACTACTGTCATAGTAATTTTATTGACATCATGAAACATTCTATATAAACCTTGAGTCAAGTATTAAACTAGAAAATATACCATTATTTTGTTCATAAACAGAACGGTTTAAAACAGAAAACTTCACAATGCTTCAGGAGAACAACTTGTGTAACAAATTATTATCACATAGCAATTACTGTCAAATTATGTCCTCCTAAAAATAGCACATTCCATTTGACTCATCCATTCATTAAAATGTATCTTTAGTAATTCAGCATCCATAATCTTCAAAAACTGCAATGGAGAGCAGCTAGATTAGGCTAACAATTCTTGCTTCCAGGAGAAGCAACCTGTTCAACACCATCCCTGGTAAATTTATTCCTCTCTCAGCTGCAACAAAAAACAACTTTTATCCAAGTGGTTCTTAATTAAGAACAGACAGGCAGAAATCACATAAGATTAGATGCAGATATGTCAAAAGACTCAAAGAACATCTACAGCTTGTCATGAAGACGAAAAACAGTGATGGAGAAAGGGGAAATATTCTTGGCTGCAGGTATGACGTACTGACCATCACGTACATAGTGACTATTTCTAGCCTCCGTGTTAAAAGAAGGCAGCAAACTGCAAAAGAACATTGGAAAAAAAAATCCTTAAATCAGACTGAGCAAGAGTAACTCTTCTGATGCAACTAAGATGACATAGCTAGAAAAACATTTGGAATTGGATGTTTTTAAAGAACCAATATTTTTAGATTTTAAGGAATGCGAAGTATAAGCAACAGTAACAGAAAGAAAGGCTGTTTCTTCAGAGAGCAGAATACACAGCAACTGACTAATGTCTATTTGCTCACGTATCACATGCTTGCACTCACTTGCTTAAAAGATGTAATTTATACAGACAGAGGAAAAAAACATACAGCACTCTCACATATCACACAACAACATTTCAATGCTACTAAAATGAAACCTCAGCGGTCCTCCTGTGAGTTTATGCCTTCATATTTGATCTCTTTTCAGCCAGGAAACAACAGATGAGTATTTTCACATTAGAACAATCATTTCTAACTACATTATACTTCATAATAAATGAAAGTTAAGCCTTAACTAAAATTTAAAAAAAAACAAAAACAGAATTACGTAATTTAGGTGAGCTCCAAGAAGTCATTCAAAATTATGCACTAATACTTAGGCACTAAAAGAAAAAAAGATGCTCTACTCCTCTTTAATCACTTCTTATTTGTTTACTGTTTAAAACCATCAAGAATCATGCAATAGCCAATTAGGCAGCTCAGTTTAATAGAACATACTTCTACTTCCAATTCTGAGAATCCGAAGTTGATTTTTGATGCTGTGCCAATAAGCTACAATAATATTTTCATCAACAGTAGAATCACAAAACGGCTGAGGTTGGCAGAGATCTCTGGTTTCACCTGGCCCAATCCCTGCCCAGGCAGGGACACCCAGAGCAGGGTGCCCAGAACGTATCCAAGAGGCTTCAGAAGATTACCAAGGAGGAGATTCCACAGCCTCTGAGAAGCCTGGGCCAGTGCTTTGTCATTTGCACAGCACAGAAGTGCTTCCTTTTATTTAGACAGATCCTCCGGTGTTCCAGTTTGTGCCTGCTGTCTTTTGGGCCATCCCTGAGCATCACTAAAAAAAATACTGGCTCCATCCTCTTTGCACCTCACTTCAGGTATTTCTACACACTGCTGAGGTCTGAGCAGTGCTGAGTAGAGGGAAAGAATCACCTCCCTACATCTACAATGCTTTGCCTAACACAGCATAGGATGCCGTTAGCTTTCCACGTGCACAACTTGGTGTCCACTAGGATTCCCAGATCAGTTTCTGGCAGGCTGCCCTCCAGCTGTGCAGCCCCCAGTATACACAGGTGCCTCGGGCTGCTCCTCTTTGCTTCTGTGTGATCTCCAAGTATAAAGCAACAGAAGTTTCAAGTCATCTGCTATCATCCTGACTGACACTCTAACTAGATCAAATCTAGTACATCATCACAGTTTCTGTTGTTTCAGGTGGGGTGAAGATGTTCTGCAGGCATTTACTTTGGGATAAGAAACTCGTCAAACGCCATTTTCATTCTCTTTAACTTAGCTCCAAACGAAATATCACCTCTAGCAGCATTTTAAAAATGTATATATTCTGTTTTGAGTGATGGTCCTATTCTTCCAAAACCTCTTCATTTTACAGAAGTTCTGTATTCCTGAATATGAGATCATTGCTTGACATCTTACCATGATGACACAGCCCATGTAACTCTCCAAATAAGTTAAATGGTACACTTTTAAATACTGCATGTATACTAAAAATTGCTTCGGTATGAAGTCCTTAGCCACATATTTTGTGTTGATCTCAGTGGAGAAAGAATGAAAGCTGCCACTGAGTACTACCTAACAGTATCAGCACAGGCCCCATTCTTAATTCTTAAATCACATCTGTGTTCTAAGCATTGGAATGGTACTCTTGGGCTAGTCCAAAATAAACTTTATGTCTGTCATTACCACCGCAAAAACCTGTGACACGATCAGATGCTAAAATGCCAGGGTTTCAACAAGCAACAGAAACATCTCGTTGCTTGTTTCAGATTTATAGCTTTTTCCTTGCAGTAAGCTAGAAGTACTGCCAGTAAACATTATCATAACCAATACAAGGGACATTAAAAGAATCCAAATAATTACTGCTTGGCATGGTCAAGACAGGGGTTGGGGGGAACAACAAAGCTTTATTCTGGACACAATTATATGAACTCAAGTTGCCAATCTTTGAAATGTTTTGCTAAGTGTGAAAGGTTGTTTAAAAAGAACTGACAAATTATTGTCAAACTGCTTCCTAAAGATTCTGACAAAATACTGACAGATGTTATACGAAGTAAAAACATATCAGGAACGCAAAATTCAAAACTGCTCAAAGTGAAGCTTATAATGCCAATCACAAAACAAATAAAACAAACAAAAAGAAGCAGAAAACAATCAAAGAGTTTGTTTTTAACCAAAAATAAATACTTGGGCAGTTTAAAAGGTACAGCTGCCTGAAGTTTGTTTGTAAGAGGATGGCTGGCCAAAAAAGGCAGGATCTTCAGTTGAAAGCGATTTTCAGATGCTCTTTTACCTATACTACCAGTAAGGTTTTGTATAATTCACAGACATAAAAAAGAACTACTAATGTGAGTAACAGCACTTCTATACTGGCTAGAGGAAAACTGTTTTATCATACAGAACATTTTAAAGGACTGAGAAATCATTCAGGAATGCCGTTACATAAAACATATGTTCAACAATCAGGTTTTCAAATGTCATTTTTAAAATAAAAAGCATTACTACTCTATGCACATCTCATTTTGTGTTAAGTCAATATCAACTGGAGATGGAAAACAGCAGTAAATGACTACAAGAAGAAACTGGGATACTTACAAATGAGAGCTATTTTTGAAGACAAGTAAAATGCAAATGCTAACTCTGCATATGCATTCGCTGCCATCACACTTGAAATGTATTACTGTGCACTTGAAATCATGTTTGCTTTTATAAAACTAAAATGTCCTTAGTTTGAAAACCTTTCAAAAATTCTTTTTAACTTCTCACACAGTTCTCTGGACATACCTTATAACTCACAATTAAATGAACTGAATGACTGAATTGCTTGAATTGTATTGATGACTGAATGACTGAAATGCTACATTTCTTACATTTTTTTTTTAAGTATAGCTTGCTGCTGCAGCCTAAGTGGTTATGTGACTGTTTTCCTACCTCCTTTCTGCACATAATACTCAGCAGAGTATTACCTACTAAAATACTACTCTATGGCAGTCTCTTGAGGTTATTAAAGAGGTCAAACTATAGACCCATGTAAGAATTACTTTTGTATTTAACCATCGGATTCAGCTTCTCCTCATGACAGAACTATAGCTTTTTAAACTTACAGATTTAAACTTCAAATATCTAAGAAAAGAAATAAATGCATTCTTCACACATGGAACTTGCTGTTCTTTTAATAAATTATTAGATTTTTTTAGAAATGAATACTTATTGAATGAGAAAGCATACCAGTAACAACAAAATGTTAAAGGGACAGGATTTATTCTAACTATACAGATAGTATTTAACTTTTTGGAAAAATGCAAACATACTAAGTAAAGAAATAAATGACAAGGGAACAAAAATTTATATTGTGAGGTAAACAAGGGAGGAAAAAAAAAATCTTTTAAGCTTAGTTTTTTAAATACCTTACTCATAACTGTGAAGTACTGAACGATATCACCAGTATAAGCTCTAACAACTGTTTCCTCAGTTTGCATGTAATGCATTTCCTGTCTGAGTTCTCCAGACTTCTACAGTAGCTCTGAAGACAGCCCCAACACTTCCCAAAATGTTGTGGATCCCACATCAACAATTAAATTTACAATATAATGTACTTTCTACATCATAATACTAGTTAAAATAAGCATTTCTACCAGGATAATTTTCTCTTCATCACTGGAATTTTGAAGACGTTATATAATGTTTCTTATTAATAAATTACAAAAAAAATATTTATTTGTAAGTAGACAATTATACTTTCAATAGCCTAGATAAAAGCATCCTTACTCTTTCTCTGCATCTCCTTCACTTTCTTCTGCATGATCAAAGCTCCAATTATTTTTAAAACCTCCATCTCTCTTGGACTGTGATCTATCCAAAGCTGAAATGAGAACAAGTTAAGATAAGTCTTGGTTTCAAGTGGAGTTATTAATCAATACAATCTAGAGGAGTAAACCAGGTGTATGTATTTTCCCCATATATTCATTTTATTTTGTTGACATCAGTGTTTAACTATCATTTGAGCAAATAAGTTCAGTAAGGCAGCAGCAAATAATTTTCCTAAATAAATAAAATAATAATCAGTCAACATCTTGATTTGTAATAAGTTAACATGCTACTAAAAATTATGAAGTGAGGGTTTTATTGTTTTACCTGTAAATTTAAGAGTTCCTTTTGTGACATGAAGACTCCTTACATTTATTACTTAAACGTCTAACACCCAAATACATGTTTCTTTTCTCCACATGTAAGTAACAGTTTTGAACTAATCCAAGCACAGTTTCAACATGCCATGTTTTTTTAATCCGTCATCTGACAAGGACATGAATTAATGTCTGCCACTAACTGAAATTTCAGGGTTAGCATCAAACAAATGAGTGAAAACTTGGATTTCCTGAGAACAGTCACACTACACGTGATCTCAAATTTATCTACTCCAATATCCAAAAGTCTGGAGATTTTTTAATAAGGTAGAATGCGGCTATCTAAGTGAAGGAGATTCAGAACATGGAGGCAGCAGTCATTAAGGTGAAGCGTTGTTCACCCAGATCCCAATTACTGCAACTAAGAGCTGCCATGCACCAGTTCTGTATAACTAATTTTATAGCACATTTGATTGGAGTGCAGTTTAAATGCATCTTTTCTTACTGTTTTTACATATTTTACAATACATTCAGAAATAATGAATGCAACCTCATGCTTTGCAAGGAAAAGGAAAGAATCATAATCAACAAAATATGTATAGAAAAAAGTACAAACACTGCAAAAAGCAAGATTTAGCACTTCCAATCTCAGCTTCCAGCTATTTGCACCTACCAAGGACCACCTGAGCCACAGATGATATTTTCATGAGCAACAGCTTTTTTTCTTTTTTCTTTCTTTTTTTTTTTTTTTAAATCAACATTACTTTGTAGAAGAAATAGTACTTTGCAGCAAACCGCACTGCCTTTTCACTATATAAGTAAGTATCTCCTTTTTTATTTATCCTGATTTAATCTGGCATCTTTTGCTTCTATTTAGCACTCAGCTCTCCTCTGGTTCTTATGCTGGCTAAGACAGTAATCCATTCCTACCGCAATTACATACATCTCTCTTGTGCTCTTGCAGTCATCTTTTCCCAGTCAGAAACCAAACAAACACCCTGTCCTTTTCATTTTTCCTGTGTCATACTTTTAGATCACCCTCAATCCTCCTCTCTGAACTTCCTCTAGCTCTACTGTTTTCTTTTTGAGATGGTGAAGAATCGAAACCCATACTACTGAAGGTAATATTCAAGATACTAATGCACCATAAATTTCTACAGAAGCAATGTGGTATTTCTCTTTTGCTATTTATTCTTTTTGTAATAAATAATATGCCTGGAAATGCTATTTTCACTGCTATGGAGAACTGCTTTGATGTTTCTGCACCAGTTAATTTCCACCTTTCATTTGAATGGTAAGAACCAGACCAGTTCAGATTCAATCACTGTACACAAAAATTTAGATAAATCATTTTCTTATCAATTTCTCATCGAGATGCATTACTTGGTGTGTGCCAACATTTGATTTAATAGATAATTTTTAATGCACATAGCATAGATCATGAGCACCTGGAACCTCCTTGAAGTACCAAACCATTCTACTAACCCAACTAATGCTTGCAACGTCTACATACTTTTGTCACTTCACTGTCAAACTTTTTTCTTCTATCTGCATCCATGTTATCGCAAATCCTCATGGGATTCAACTGGTTATTCCTACTTTTAACAAAATGAACCACTTCTGCCCTCACTAGTAATCTGTTGCCAGTTGTTACTTATAATACTTTCCATTTTATCTAAAGGAAACCTAGCATTTCCAAAAGCCTGTGGTAAAGAATATCACAGAAGGAAAGACTGATCCAATCTTGGTCTTCATTAACATTTCTATAAACTTCAGTTATAGTCACAAAGCTGACCTGTGAAGAGTTCCTCAACCAGTCCACCTACCTATCAAAAAGCTGGTATCATACACAGATATCAGCTACTTGTAGCAGAAAGACAGTCCTAACCAACAAGTATCAGGCAACAGCCATTTGCTCCTTTATCACCAAGTTCCTCTCAGAACACGTGGATGAATGCTATTTCATCCTCACCTATTGTTTGCCTCATGCATCTTTTCTTCTACTGATGCTTCATTTTGAGACATAAACCCTGTCACGTTCCTTAAGAAAAATTATGGCAATAAGACCTCACTAAGTGTTATCAAAGTGGGTGCAATCAATTGTGAGTTTTCATCTCATGCTCACCAAGATTTTCTACAATGTTTCTGTCTGCTATCTCCACAACTTTTACATTTCCAGCAGGCTACTGGTCAGGTAATCCCACCAATTACATCTGACTAATTTTCTTTATGGTCATTGAATCCACCTAGACTTCACATCACATTTTGAGCCATTTAAGTATGACCTGACTTGAAGGTGTTATGGAATACGTTGTACTTCTTCAGCCAACAATATCTATTCTCCATTAGTCCCCTTCAATCTCCATTTGTCCATCATCTCCCTCATTATATTCCTTTTATCTAAGTTCACTCCACCAGCTTCCAGCTCTCTCATTCCACCTGGACTATTTCTCCAAGCTCCTTCACACAAGTAAGGCAAACATTGTTACTGTAGGATTTTTTCGCTTGTGTTTCTTCTGTTTAAATCAGACTACTTGCACATGTTTGTCTTGGATTCTTATTTGAGTTTTAGCAGCTTCAGTAGAGAATATAATTTTTCGTGCTAAATGTACATTACACCAAACCATGTGCTGCTCCACTACTATCAGCCTCTCCCCACTCTTCAGGTGTCAGCAGACTGGCTCTAAACTTATTTTGAGAAAATCCATCTCACTGCACACAACTCCCTTCCTTTAGAAGAAATTTGCTCATTTATTCATCTTGGCTCTACCAAAAATATAAATCTAAAAATGTATTGCCACTTGGAATTAGATTCTATGCAGGTGTCTTTTTAAACAAATGCTAAGTTTATAACTATTTTGTAAAACCTGAATTTACAACCTGTATGCTGCAGTTTTTTCTATGCATGCTACCAGGGCCAGTACACTTTGCATACTCTTATATGCTGTCAGCAGTGCTGTGCAGTGCAGGTGGTACGCCTGCTACCAGGACAGATTTGTATCCAGACATAATTTTAATTATTTACATGCCTTTTTAAAAAAGCCAGTTGAACAAAATCTGCTGGAATACTGCGTATTTTAGCTTTCACAAAAACTTTTTTATTATTAGCCACATCCCAAAGCCATCCATTTTGTGTGAAATTTACTCAATTCACATTTGGGATGACAAAAATCAGCACGCTCTTAGGACAAATGGCAGAAAGCAGATTAACATCTTTATGCCCCTACATGCTGACACTGCTTTGTAAACTCCTTTAACAGGAGTTTCCATCATTTAATAGTATTATTCATACAACCATAGAATGGCCTGGGTTGAAAAGGACCACAATGATCATGTAGTTTCAACCCCCCTGCTATGTGCAGGGTCTCCAACCACCAGACCAGGCTGCCCAGAGCCACATCCAGCCTGGCCTTGAATGCCTCCATGGATGGGGCATCCACAGCCTCCTTGGGCAACCTGCTCCAGTGCATCACCACCCTCTGTGTGAAAAATCTCCTAAAATTATTATGAAAGGAAGTCATTCCTGAACTTGAATGGGAAAAAATAAATAAATTAATAAAAATCTGCCCATCTGCAACAGTGAAGTGAGGAGTATTTAGCAAAGTGCAAAAGAAGATGGCATCTGCTAAGATTTGCTTTTAAGTCTTGTGCTCTGTGGCCTAGGACCAATCATTACATATGAATCTATATTATGGCCAGAACAACACACCTTTTTATTTTTTATTGTTCCAAATGTGATGCCATGTGCTTACTGATCACATGAAGAACACTTTCAACTTTTCTCATAAAGTAACTTTTTCGTATTTATCAACAGATTGCCTAAAAAGCTTCCCACCACCTTCTGAATGTGCCAATAGAAACTGCAACATTTCTACTACAGCACAAAAAGACAGTTTACAGGTCTTTAATCCGCTGAGATCACATCTATTTTTGTGCATCCAAGAAACACCCCAAAAATAAACCTAAAGCACACAAACATTTCATTCAGGACTAAGGACTTGTTCCAGAAGAACCTCAAATTCCCATACTTCTTCCCTGTTACGCTGGTCTAAATAACGCAAACCTTATCTTACAAATGCTTACACTATCACAACTGCAAAGAGCAGACACTGTAACATTCAGCACAGGAAAAAAAAAGTTCATTTCAATGCACTCAGACTCACTCTCTTCATCTAGACTCATATTTAAGTAAATTAAGAAGAGCTTTCTAATCTTTTGTTCATGTAGTCACTGCATATATTGATAAGAAGGTACAAGTACTCATAAATATCTGACACAGGAATCATTTTTAATTGTGTTTCTTTCTCGTTTGTTACATCATTCTATCAGAGAGGCTTCTTGAGGCTTCTATGCAAACTAGTTTTTTATCTTCCAGGTTCAATATGAGCAGTTCTAACATGTTAACTGTTTAACCACAGTGAGGGTGCATTTTCATACCCCATAGTAAGCACTGCATGAAGAGTTTTATGCACATCCTCACTTCCTAGAAGCTGGGGCTTCTTGCTCCTATCCTGCACACTGCATACAGCAGCACAGCGCCCACCTGCTCAACCACACTACCACAGCACAGCTGTAACTGCACAGTGCAGGAAAGAAGCATCCACAACCAGAGACTCTTTTAGGCACTAATGAAACCAAAAAAATCTGCACAGAACTGCAGTCTAGCCTGAATTTATAACTAAGCATTCAGAGATTCATTGTTTAGAAGATGCTTCACCTTTCCTCTCCCCAAATTACC